TTATATATCTGCCAATCTCATAAATATGGCCTCGTGATCTTCGCCTAATTTTCTAAAGAAATATGCTAATCCAACTATGTCCTAGTTCGCCCTTCTTTGTTCTCCAATTTCAATGACCTCCTCACAAATTATCTCCTTCATATCAATAACCATGTTAAAATTCTACTTACACCAGTAGACATCGCCATAATAATACATGCATATAAAGGTGAATCAATCTCTTTCCTGGTATAGCATCTTAAACAAATACTATTGAAGAGTGTTCTAATCTTCTTTGGTTTTCCAATTATTCATTTCCTCCATGGCATCCGATAACATAAGTTCCTAATCCCTCATAATTCAATGTTTCATCTTTATTCTTTATTATCTGATATTTTTTTGATCTCAGTGTTATGCTCTTCTTTTATTTATCTTCAATTTCTTAGAATAAATCAGTAATTAATTCTACCCTCTAGTCTCCTTTCTCTCTTTACTTTTCCTCTCATCATTTTCACCAGGTATGTCGTAAATTTTTACATAATTTTCATCATCTTATTCAAAAAACGATAGGAGGGTAGAATTTTTTCAAGCCTTACACACTGTAAGAATAATATTATTTGAAAGGCTAAAATAAGAAATTAATATATTTACCTTTTTTTTAAGATGAGATTCAATTGAATTCAATATTTTTGAGTATAAATTATATATATTTACGTTTTGCTGTTACCATATATACTTTTTGTTCGTAGGTTATAGGGATAAATTATTTCTGACTGTTTATTTTATTAACTTGTTAAATTATTTATGTAAGCTTGATAAAATTTTTGTTTATTGTGAATTTCTTCTAAATTCACATAGTTCTATAAAAATTAAACTTTGTATATATTTATTCAAGATAATTTACTATCCAATCTTATTTCCACTTAAGTTTTTTCTCTAAACTTTTAATAAGCATCATTTAAATAAATTTAAAATAACTCTAATGACAATTACGAGTGTTAATGAACTCTTTTTGTCAGATTTATCCATATATAATGATCAGAAACTTATTGTTAAATTTCATCTTTTGTATTAACGCTATTATGAAATCTCTTTGTTCAATAAGTCTACTTTTCTTATAATTGGTGGCATAATCTTCATTTCATGTTTCTGGTTTCGAATATTTGAATTTGACTATCCTTTTTACTCGTATTGTATGTTGGTGACTTATCAATGTAATCTTTAATAGTTAATCCTTCTAATTTTCTCTATTAAATATCAATTTTTGTTTAATCATATATCATGAATGTTGTCTTCATTGTTATTTAATCATGATCTAGGTAGGACATGTAAAGCATGCTAATTGATCTCTTAATTTCAATTTTATTCTCTGAGGTTTATGATCAGATAAAAGTATGCCTTATTTTGTTACTAAATTTAGAGATTTTATTTTTTTCCTTTTTTCTTGCCCCTAGATTTAATGTTTTCTAGTAGCCAGAAAATTATCTTTTGAAATTAGGAATTGACGAAGCCATCTATAACTTACCAATAATGAAAGAGGTAAATTTTATATCTGTTCCAGTCTATATAGATCAATTTCTTCTTCTTCTTGAATATCAATAATGGTAAGATTTAAAATCATGTAAAAAATCCTAAATTTTCTCTTCTTGATTATTCTTAGAATAAAATCTTTAGATTAAAAAAGATTGTAATAGTATTCTTTAACAATCCACAAATCTATTTATGTTAAAAGCATGAACAATCTAATAACAAATGAAGACTAAGCACAATGACTTTTTAATTCTAGTTAAAATTTTTATAATCATTTTGTCTTGAATAATTTAAAGAAGGCGTCAAATATAATTTGAATATGAATTGATTTCTATAATTATTATTATAATTCATAAATATACCTTATTAATCAAACTTTTCCAAGAATTCACTCATTTAGACAAAACAATTTTGCAAAATCCGCCCTACTCTTCTCTATTTTATCAAATTTTCTTAAAATCTTCCATCTAGTTACTTCATCATTCTAGGTTTTACTATTTCAATAAATGAACCAATTCGTCTTTTAAATTGTTTTACTATTCCTTTGGGTATAATCATAATAAATATTTATCTCCATTTTCAAAAATTAAAATTTAAGAATAAAATCATAAGCTTAAAAATTATGTAAATCTCATGATCTTATTTATATGAATGAATTCAATTATGTCAGTCATTTTGTTGTAGGGTCTATCTATACTTATCATTTTTGACTCTTATCTTTTGAGAACTAAGTAGAATATTCTTGTATTACTTCTAGCTTAAAATGGTGTTATTAGCTTTGTGGATTGCAAGATTAGCAGGATTTCTATTATAAAATTATCAAAAGTTTTAGAGCTCTGAGATATGAAAATTTAAAAAGTTATTATTGTATTTGGATGTTAAATTTTTTAAGGATTCATTTCTTTTATTACTAGCTCCTCATTATATTTCTTATTTAAGAATTTTAGGAACACTAATATTGTATATTTGGTTGAGAATTAATTATTAAATTTTAAAGTACAAATGAATAAAACTCCAAACTCAATTGGTAGGATGGTTTATGGAAGAAGAATATACATCCAAAATTGTTTTCGAATTAATGACTTTAACAACTATTGTCATTAAAGCACTAAATCAAGACATGATTGTTTAGCTTTAATCAGTCCATTATTTATATTATGTAATGGCCGTTTGATAATACCAATGACAGAAAATTTAATGAAGAAAAAAGAGGAGAGAAATTGATAGATTATTTGTATTATTGTTATCAATATTTATAAGATTCAAATAAAACCACATTCTTTGAAAAACTCACTAAATCTTGTTAATTTTATTAAGTAAATTTAAAAATTATAATTAAATATTTCGATAATCCTCTAATATCAGTCTAACATACAACCAAAAACATTATAGAAACTCTAATCAAAAAATTCCTATATAAAAGCTTGGTAAATTTTGTTTATATTTTAATGTTTAAGATCATTTAATTACTGTTAATTAAAAATTAAAAAATAGTTAAGATCTTTTAATTTTTTTTAATATAAGTAGGGCTCAATTTCCAAATAAAAGCAAATCTTCTGAAAACTTCTTTTTGCATATTTTTTTATTTATGAGAGAAAAATTGTAATTGCAAAATTAAATCATATTAATCACCTACATCTCAATATTTGAAACTAGTTTTTTTTTACTTTTGTTTGACTTTTTTCTATTTTATATTGAATAATATTTAATGAAATTCGTGTGTTTGTATATAATAGAACTGCTCCAGAAAAGTAATAAAAAATGAAAGAATGGAATTCCATCTTTGTAGGTTTCACTTATGAATTCCTATTTTTATTATTATAATTATCATAGGCTTATTTTGTAATCAGGGTTGATAAACTTTAGAATTCTTATGCAAACAGGAAATTGTAGGTTTTAAAATTTTTTTTAATTAGCCAAAATGATAATCCACATACTTATTTTTTTGGAAACTATTATTAAATGAATACCTATTAAATCAAAATTTTTTGATATTTTAATAATATAAACTAAATAGATTTATAAAGATACCCAAAAAAATGTAGAATAAATGAGAAAATAATTAAAGAGATTTTACAATCTCATAATAAATTATTTAATTGAATCAACAGAGATGAATGCATATCTGAGTATAATTATCATTTGATTATAAAAATTTAGATAAATCTAATAATACTTAAAAATACTAGATATAACTGAAAGTCAAAATTGAATTCCACAATATAGAAATTAAACTCCTATTATTTTATTTAAAAATGATGAAAAAAAATCAATATTGATATAGTTTTCTTGATACTTCTGTTTAACTTACTTTACCGTTTAAAATAAGGCAAAATTATGCGATTTAATAGTATTTAGAAAGCGGTAAAATAATAATATTTTTATGATATTGACTCTTACTTAATTATGACCAATAATAAGACAGTTCAAAAACAATAATTCAAAAAATATAAAATCTTCACATTGACTAGATTTTAATAGAAACAGTGAATAAGGAATAGAAGAAAAATTTACGATTGAAAATGATTTAGAGATTTGTCAAAAACTTTATACGTTGTTATTGAATTGTTTAAAAGATGATTATAGAGATGATTATAAAATTTTTAAATTATTTATAGAATTCATCTACTTCCAAACAATTTAATCACTAATAAAAACAAGATAGCTGCTTTAAATTCAATATTATTCAATTATGAAACTCTTTTAAATTCTACTTGCTAAGTTTACTTGAGATTTTATTATTTTTATAGCTATCATGGTATTGGTTGATTCAGTATTTTTGTATAAGTTGCTAATTTTTTTAATAAATTTACAGCAAACATTCTTTATGTAGACATATAATAATAACGAAAAACCTTCAACCTTCTTCTGGATCGGTAAAAGTGTTTAATTAAATAGTTTCTTCTTGAAAATTTAAAATATAATTCTCAATCAATCTTTTTATTTCAAATTTACTTTCTGTTTTCTATAATAACAAGGGTGCTGCATAAAAATAATAAATTTGGATCATTTCTATTTTAATAGCTTTTTAAACATTAATTTGGAAATTGATTTTTACAAAAAAAAAATAAGATAAATTCAATTAACAATAAACTCTTGAAAAGCTTTTGTTTTTATAGATTTTGATATTTCTGAATTTAAAATGAATAAATTTAGTATAAAAAAAAGATGGGATTCCAAATAAAACTTTTTATTATTTATATATGTTCAATTAATAATTAAACATAAATTTTTTTAATAATTATATTGATATTAATGAATAATTAGGAAACTTAATTTAGAATATTTATCGAATTTTATTTTTAAATAATTAATTATGCTTAAATTTCAATTATTAAATTTATTTAAAATGCAAACCTAGGTTTTTATGATTAACTCTCATTAAAAAAACTAATAAAAGAATGATTTTAAAAATGAGATTTAGTAATTTAGTCAAGTTTATTTTAAATAAACAATTAATTATTTTGGATCTAAAAAAAAATAATTTTTCATCATTATATCATTTCTACTTTGAATAAGATCTGTTAGAACTAACTTTAATCATTTAATGTCTAAGTTGCAGTAAATGAAACAGCAGTTTAAGTAATTTTGATGAGTTAATCTGAAGTTGTAATAATCAAAAACCTTGGATTTAATCTAACAATATTGATTTTATTAGTAACACACTAGATTTAGCGAAATTTACACCAATCTTCATTACAAAAAATTTGTATGTTTAATTTTTCATTAGCAATGCATTTCCAATAATATATAAATGTAATATATTATTTATTATAAGGAACAGTTATAACTTCTTCTAAAATTTAATTTTATGAATAGTTAATCTCTTAAACTTCTATATGTGTTTCGATTGAATTCGTCGCATCATAGAATTTGACTTCACTCATGCTTTCTAAATTTACTAAAGAAAAATAGCCATCTTTAAAACAATAATAGTTATGCTACAATTATTAAATTACAGAATCACTCCCTAATATATAAATAATTCTCTACAAGTATAGATTCCAAGAGTAACTTATGGTGTAAACGTATTCACCACTTGTAATCTCAGATTTGGAGTATTTATCACATATTAAAATCCTAGAAGATTAAAATAACAATTTTTGGAAACCCACCCTGTAGGAAAAATGACTTCTTAACTTGAACCAATAGGTGAGGTATTTATGATTGTGGGGCCAACTAAAAAAAGATCAGATGTGCTTAATAATATTTAATATCCTATTTGTTTTAAGTTTATAGTGTGTAAGCCAATTTTCACAGTTTCAGATGTCAATGTTAATTCCTAAATAATATAAAACTTTACTGTCACTTCATTAAATTAATTGCCTTCAGCATAATAACTCACAAAGTTAGATATAGCAACATCTATTTTACAATATTTTTTCTAATAAGCATGTATGTATTAAGAGTTAGGATTAGTGATGTTAAAATTATTTATCACTTGAACTCTATCATCGTTAAATGCAAACCAATTAAACATTATTCCATAAAACCTTAAAGTACTTTCACAAACAACATTTGCAGTAAATCCTATAAACTAAAAAAAAATAATACCATCTATTGTGATATCAGTTAGAGTTAATGAATATCCTTAAGGAAATCCCAGATAAAAGTCTAGCCAAATAATATTCAAGTACACATCTGGAATTTTTGTGAATTTTTTTGAAAAAGGGATAAAAATTGATTTACTCCTAAATTTTTCTAAGCTTGTGAATAAATTTAAATTAGCATCATAAATGTAATTGAAATCAGAGCATACACCTTATTCGTATCTGTGTTCTGACTTTACAACAAATAAATAAAATATGATGTAAAATAAACTCATTTCCAATTATAAATACTTATAAATTTTCAATTATGTATTAGAATTTGGTAATATCATTTTATGCTTCCAATTTTATTTCAATTTTTATATCATTATAGCAATTAGCTATGATATTACGAACAAATTCAGAATTTATTTACAAAAGTTTTTTTAATATAAACTCAATTAAAAGAAGAGCATAATTAATTAAATAACTTTCAGTATTATTCATAAATCACTTATCCCATTTTTTAATTATTATGTTTTTTTTTCAATACACATATTAAATTAAAATACTTTTTAATCATTATATAAATATTCCTTTTATTTTACTATCTTTTTTATATACTATAATCTCATTTTAATTAGTTAGTTAAATATGATAAGCTCTCTGAAAAGTAAGAAAAATACCTTTTTTTTTGTGGTTACTTAGTTTCAATTTATCTAAAAAAAGCCAGGTTTGTATATGAAAGTAAACAATTAAGCGAGAAGGAAGGCACAATATTCCCTACCAAGCTGCTTGGCAAAAAAAGTTTCCATAAAATTTTTTGATTCAATTGTGGTAAAAATCTCATGCCTTCGGTGGTACAATGGATTCAGAAATATATTTGTGTTTTAGTTGGTCAGGTCAGCATCCTAACTCATGGATGTGCATCTATGATATAGAAACTTGGCCAGGAGAGGAACACCAGCATGGTGCTAACGAATATGGAAAAAGAGTTAGGATTTTTAGATTGATCTCCTCTGTTTTCTAAGAGAGAATGACAGACACCCTCCCAACAAAATGGAGGAGAGGCATCCTTTAGACAATGTACAAGAGTAAGAAGGGAACCAGTACAAACATCAATCCAGAAAAAAAGAAATCTCTATTGTACAGGTTTAAATTGATCTTTGGAAATGATTTCAAAATAGGTGGAAGGAGAAGAATGAATGTATCTATAAATTTTATTTAGTTTAATTTTAAAATAAATATTAAAATCTTATTTTCCCAAATAAAAACTTTATACTTTTGGTTATAAAAATAAATCTAATTTTTCTTTAACAAAGATAAATTTCTTTTTTATTAATTTTTTTTACTTTCAAGCTCTGTAGGATTAAGGTTTGGAATTTAAAAAATGGATTATCAGATTAAATTGGTTTGAAAGGACATTAGAATTAAGTCTATTCAATACTTTTAGTAAAAAATATAATTGGTTTTTTCTTGGATGTAGAGGGGATGATAAATAAATCTGTTGGAAAGAAATCAATAGATCTAATCCATGGGAATCCATTTAAACAGTAGAGCCTGTAAGTACTTTTTGGTTTTTGATTATAAATGAATAAGAAAATCATTTATTACTCTCTCAAAAAATTATTAATATTTTGATATTTTATGATTATTATGTATTATCCAGTCGTGATGATGGATCTATCATGCATTAGGAAATAAAATACAAAGAAAATAATTATATTTGATTATTCCCAATAAGAACATAATTCATTTGTGTGTCAAATTAATTTTAATAAGAATTAAACTCAATTAGTTTCATGCAGTGAACACAAATAAATTATAATATGGGAATTAAATAAAAATTTAATTTGATAATTTTTATATGTAGTTATAAAAAGTATTGATGATTAAGAAAATTAAAAATTTATTGAATGCTTCCATTTAAGATTTACTTTAAATGCAGTTCTTTTTAAAGATTAATATAATTTATTTCCACTAATTTATAATTAAGCTAAAAATATTCTAATCTTAAAACATCATAAACATATTTATTTATCAACATAATAATTTAATAAATAATTTTAAATTTTAAGTAAACTCATCTTTTGCGGATGCAGNAATGGAGGAGAGGCATCCTTTAGACAATGTACAAGAGTAAGAAGGGAACCAGTACAAACATCAATCCAGAAAAAAAGAAATCTCTATTGTACAGGTTTAAATTGATCTTTGGAAATGATTTCAAAATAGGTGGAAGGAGAAGAATGAATGTATCTATAAATTTTATTTAGTTTAATTTTAAAATAAATATTAAAATCTTATTTTCCCAAATAAAAACTTTATACTTTTGGTTATAAAAATAAATCTAATTTTTCTTTAACAAAGATAAATTTCTTTTTTATTAATTTTTTTTACTTTCAAGCTCTGTAGGATTAAGGTTTGGAATTTAAAAAATGGATTATCAGATTAAATTGGTTTGAAAGGACATTAGAATTAAGTCTATTCAATACTTTTAGTAAAAAATATAATTGGTTTTTTCTTGGATGTAGAGGGGATGATAAATAAATCTGTTGGAAAGAAATCAATAGATCTAATCCATGGGAATCCATTTAAACAGTAGAGCCTGTAAGTACTTTTTGGTTTTTGATTATAAATGAATAAGAAAATCATTTATTACTCTCTCAAAAAATTATTAATATTTTGATATTTTATGATTATTATGTATTATCCAGTCGTGATGATGGATCTATCATGCATTAGGAAATAAAATACAAAGAAAATAATTATATTTGATTATTCCCAATAAGAACATAATTCATTTGTGTGTCAAATTAATTTTAATAAGAATTAAACTCAATTAGTTTCATGCAGTGAACACAAATAAATTATAATATGGGAATTAAATAAAAATTTAATTTGATAATTTTTATATGTAGTTATAAAAAGTATTGATGATTAAGAAAATTAAAAATTTATTGAATGCTTCCATTTAAGATTTACTTTAAATGCAGTTCTTTTTAAAGATTAATATAATTTATTTCCACTAATTTATAATTAAGCTAAAAATATTCTAATCTTAAAACATCATAAACATATTTATTTATCAACATAATAATTTAATAAATAATTTTAAATTTTAAGTAAACTCATCTTTTGCGGATGCAGGTGTATGTTTCGATATATAAATGAAGCTGGATCCTAATTGGTAGTTTGGAATAAGGATAATAAATCATTCAGATTTTATGCATTGAATTGATTTTCTTATAATTAATTTATCCTTCTATTAAATTTTTTACTATCTAAATTATTTTTAAACAGGTTATAAACCTTTTTCATCGTATTCAGACACTCACTGCAATATATTACGTTTCATATTTAACAAAAAAGAAAATATGTCTATATTTTGTATTGTATTAAATAGTAAACTAAAAAAGGTTTAGACTTAAACTGAGTAATTTCGTCTATTAGATTTAAATCATAAGAAAATTTCTTTAAAAAACTTTCTTATATAATCTTAATAAATATTATTTGATGCTCTAATAATCTTAACTAATTATATTCACCTGAAGAATAAAAAAAGAATTGAATTTTTGCTAAATTATATAATGATTATTTTCACCATAAATAGGAAAAATAAAATTGACTAAAATCTGAATTCAATATCGAAAATAATTAATTTAAAATTTTTGGCTCAATTAAATTTTTTTTTAATTAATATGTAAATTATTTTTTAACTTAAAGTTAGGATAGGTTAGGTCTATTTTTTATTATTAGTGATTTAAAAAATGCTTATTTAAAAGATCTACTAAATAGTTTCATGGTTTCTAGAAAAAATTTAAATATAAAGTTAATGTTTCACTTCTTTATAAAAAATTTTGAAATAGAATATAATTATATTTTTTATAAACAAATAAATTTTTATAATTTATAATTGTATAATAAACCAATTTTTGCTCAACAACAAACAAAAGATCTTTGTGTATAATTTTCAACTGAAATAACGCTTTTCATATTATATGGTTTATTGCATTTTTTGCATGAAAATGCTTAAAGATACTAATAAGCGTTTTCACAAACATAAATAGTTTAATCATTAATTTTAAGTGTTTTCATTAGTTTTTAACATTTTCCTTTACAATAATAGCATTCATATCTATTTTTATCATTACATTAAGCTTTGCATTCATTACAATTATTTAAATTGGTTAAATTTTTTAGTTATTGATTAATATTTTAAAAAATGTAGATCTTATCACAACATCTGCATTCATATTTAACTGGATTTTCTGCCTCATTTAAACAAAAATTACATTTAAATGTAAATTTCTTTGGTTAAATTTTTGCATCTTTATCATAGGGAGTCTTATCAAAATCTTCACTAACAAATTCATCACATTCATAACAAATTCCGCATATATGCTAAAGTTGTACATCTGAGCATTTATTTTAATCTAAATTTTAAGAAAGTTAACTTAATTTTAGTTTTTCACATAAATAACTACAATTTTTGTGCTGATTTTGTGAAAATTTAAGAATTCCTATTTCTTTCTAATTAGTTAAATCTTCATCTAAAATTGATTACCATTATTAACTAGTTTAGATGGAGGGGTCAGATAAAATATTATTACATCCTTATAAATCAGTAATCACTAAAAGTTTTTGACTATAATAATATGAAAAATGACTAAATGCTGTAAAATAATATGAATCAGGTTTACAATAATTATCATTATTGGTGTGCTTTTCAAATTTATATTAGATATTTAGAAAGGTTTCACCGTATATTTATTTCATACCATAAAATGGCTTTTCTAGATTATATAAAATAGGATGTGCATAAAAAATGGGTTGCATTTCATTTAATAGATTGTATTCTTTTAATTTTTAATTAAAAAAGTATGCCATTTAACATGCATATGCAGAAGAGTAAAATCTTACTTTTGCTTGTTATTCAGCATTTTTAATCTATTGATCAGTATTTTTTCCATTATTGTCGACTAATTCTTTTGGAAGTTTTAAAATAATTTCTCTATTATTAATAGCATCAAAAGCCTTAAAAATATAAGTTGATGAATTATTCTAGTCTTTATTTTATTCAGTTTAATCTTAATTTACTTTATTTAATTCATTTATATCTAAAGTCACTTTTAGACCAGTCTCACCTTCTCTTATCAAAGAATCAACCATTTTCCTATAATCTTCCCAATATTCTTTATCTGGTTAAATATTATCTATTGAATTATCTACTTTCATTTTGATAAATGTAGCTTTAACATATAAGAATTTATTATTGGCTTGCTCCTTTAATCTTCTTGATTCGGTTACAGATTGACGTAATGTAAACCCAACTAATTCACATAAATCTTCTGGCTTTTTTTCTGTAGTTATAGTTATAAGAGGAAATACAGCTTTCATTTTTTAAAACATAATATCTGTTCTATTGTTAATTTTTACACAACATAGGAAATTATTCTTTTTTATTTTTTGATATTTCTCTAAGACTTTTTCAAAATAATTTTTTGGCATTTTATCAATTAAATCATCTGATTATATATTATGATAATCTCTTCCATGACAAGGAGCATCAGCAAGTAAAAAAGTACATAATAAACTATCTGGATGATGAGAAAAGTTGAGTTTCAATGCTTATTCAAATCCAGAAACTACATCTTCAGCTTCATCTCCACCTCCTTTTGTTTCTAGTTTAGTTATGAAATTTTGAATATCCTCCACTTTTTTTGTAAAACTCCAAAAAACTAATTTATCCTAATCACAAACATCTCTGTATCCTACAAAGGCAACTCTAACTTGATATCCATTAATAGACTTTAAAAATTAATCAATTATTTTAGCAATTGTTTTTTACATAAGTTCTTTCCAAGGCTACATTGAACCTGTTAAATCCATAATAAAAACAACATCAATTATATTTTATTATAAAAACCATTTTTTATAATTAGCTAACTCTGAACTTTAGAGTAATAATTCTATATCATCTCCATTTGGGGTTGATTTAATCTTTTTTTTTCTTTCATCTGCAAGAACAATACAAGACTTTAAAGCATTTTTTTATCCTATTTTATTATTGATCTTTTCCCAATCAATATGATTTTTCAAACATTTTTGTTTAGGGCACCACCCCTTCAAAAAGGGTATACAATAATTCTCCAAAAATGCAGGATGTTGATCGCAATTGCAATCTACTTTTTCACATACTTATTCAGGAGTAGTAGTTTTTATAAATGATTTATCCTTGGCTTTATCTTTCAAAGAGGTCCAAGCTACATGTTCAAAATCACATTTTGGTTTCTTGTTACAGTTTTTAAGAATGTAATCAAAACACACATTCTACGCCCATTCTCTATGCAAAAACCGACAATTTTGTAAATTACAACCCTTTGGACATAAATTATGTGGAAATACACCATTGATAGTTTATTTTTAAGCTTAATCTTTAAATTTATCATTAGAAAAGTGCCATAATATGCAATCCTTTTTCTTGCATTTCTTTAGTTCAAAATCATCTAAATCTCCTCCATCATTAATAAATTTTTATTGAATCCTTAAAAAAGTTATACAAACTCCAACAAAAACTCTTGAGTGATTTAATTAACACTAATTGTTTTAGCACAATTAAGAATCATCACAGACTTCCTCGAAATTAAATTCATTTTAAATCATATTTTATTAATATATAGATTAAACTCTCCTTTTATTTATTTAAAAAGAGCTGTATTTCTATTAATTTTTTTAAGCATAATAAAATGTTTATATCAAATTTTAATTATATTTCAATATAGTTCTTCCCTTACAAAATTCACTAAGAAAATCAAACTAAATTCTTTTTATGTATAAATTAAAAATAAATAGAAAATATGATTATTGAATACGATTTGAAATATATAAATTAGCTTTTTTATTATAATTCTAAATTCTTAATTATTTTGAAAAATAAAAATCTAACAATCTAACTACAAATGCTATAAAGAAATAAAAATATATTTTAATTCTAAATTTTACATTAAATATATCAAAGTGTGAAAGTAATAAAATATAGAACTAAACTATTTATTTTATTTTGATAAATCATAATTCCAATTTTATCCTAAATTGTCTCTATTTTAAGATTTCATAATTTATTTAAGTATTTTTTATACTTGGCTGTTAATCCCCAAATCCATATCATATCCATCATATCTGGTTCATCATTATATTTTTAAGGAATCTGATTACATGAAAAATGAGCCTTAAATGCTTTTAAAACAGAAGAAAATTGTTTATTGACAACATTTGTTTCTTAAATGTCATAACCATACTTCTTAAGATGTCGAGAAAGAAATGATATGTTTACTTTATCTGGTAATAATTCTTCAGGATTGTAATTTTTGATAGCTTCAATAGTCAATTCTTCTTTGGTCATCCAAGCTCCAATACCATAATTAGTATAAAGTCTNTTTGGTTTCTTGTTACAGTTTTTAAGAATGTAATCAAAACACACATTCTACGCCCATTCTCTATGCAAAAACCGACAATTTTGTAAATTACAACCCTTTGGACATAAATTATGTGGAAATACACCATTGATAGTTTATTTTTAAGCTTAATCTTTAAATTTATCATTAGAAAAGTGCCATAATATGCAATCCTTTTTCTTGCATTTCTTTAGTTCAAAATCATCTAAATCTCCTCCATCATTAATAAATTTTTATTGAATCCTTAAAAAAGTTATACAAACTCCAACAAAAACTCTTGAGTGATTTAATTAACACTAATTGTTTTAGCACAATTAAGAATCATCACAGACTTCCTCGAAATTAAATTCATTTTAAATCATATTTTATTAATATATAGATTAAACTCTCCTTTTATTTATTTAAAAAGAGCTGTATTTCTATTAATTTTTTTAAGCATAATAAAATGTTTATATCAAATTTTAATTATATTTCAATATAGTTCTTCCCTTACAAAATTCACTAAGAAAATCAAACTAAATTCTTTTTATGTATAAATTAAAAATAAATAGAAAATATGATTATTGAATACGATTTGAAATATATAAATTAGCTTTTTTATTATAATTCTAAATTCTTAATTATTTTGAAAAATAAAAATCTAACAATCTAACTACAAATGCTATAAAGAAATAAAAATATATTTTAATTCTAAATTTTACATTAAATATATCAAAGTGTGAAAGTAATAAAATATAGAACTAAACTATTTATTTTATTTTGATAAATCATAATTCCAATTTTATCCTAAATTGTCTCTATTTTAAGATTTCATAATTTATTTAAGTATTTTTTATACTTGGCTGTTAATCCCCAAATCCATATCATATCCATCATATCTGGTTCATCATTATATTTTTAAGGAATCTGATTACATGAAAAATGAGCCTTAAATGCTTTTAAAACAGAAGAAAATTGTTTATTGACAACATTTGTTTCTTAAATGTCATAACCATACTTCTTAAGATGTCGAGAAAGAAATGATATGTTTACTTTATCTGGTAATAATTCTTCAGGATTGTAATTTTTGATAGCTTCAATAGTCAATTCTTCTTTGGTCATCCAAGCTCCAATACCATAATTAGTATAAAGTCTTCCCCATGGAAATAGAATACCAGGATCAATTTTTCTATTGGGCGCTATATCTGAATGCCCAAGAATACAAACTGGAGATATATTGTGTTTTTAAATAATAATTTTGCTTAACTATGCTAATGCCTTAATTTAATCATCATCAAAAGGAACGAATTAATTTTACTTATCAACTCCATCATTCACAAGCTCTATCCCTATTGAATTTTCATTTAAATTAATAAAATTATGCCATTTACTTAAACCAGCATGCCAGGCTCTTTTTTCTTCAGGTGCCACTTGAATTATTTTCCCACTAGGTATTTAAAATTTAGATTCGTATTAAGTTATTACATATGTTGAACTTACCGCATCAATATCTGTATCTCTAGTAAACACTTCCAAAGTCTTGAAAAAATTTATGACTGTGTAGTGAAGTATAAGAAAAGTAATCGGAGTTGAAGTTCCATTTGATCTTTCGTTATAATGATTTTTATTCTTTTCAGGAAATTTAGGTACCTTATAAATTACCATATCGTTTTCGATTTATTAAGCAACTAATTTTATTTTTGTTCCTTATTCAACCTAGGTTATAAAATAATCATAAGGTGGCTTAGATTATAAATATAGTCTTACCTAATTCATCATCTTTTGTTAAATTTTCTATTGCAAATAATTTAAAGTTTATATATTAATATATTAAAGAGATTATATTTATATTAATTTGAAGAATAAGATTTAAATTACCTTTAGGTAATTAGATTTTTGGTTTCGAAGTCTATAATATTTATAAAACAAGTAAATCATTTAGAGTATATGGCTATATAATTGTCATTTATAATAACAATTAAATAATAAAATATTTATCTAATTTTTGTCATTATTTATTGTTAAATATGATTAGAATTACTTAATATTAAATGAAACTAATACATGTTTATTAAAATTTTATCATAGACTCATGATATCTCTTAAGATTAACAACATTCAATATCGAAATGCTCAAATTCAGAATAAATATTATTGATAAAAAACAATAAAAATATATACTTTGAGCGACAAATAAAAAACTAAATCTATGGTTTCAGATAAGCTTTTGATTATTCATTTATTATGTTTTCATTAAAAAGGAAGTTTCTTAGACTTATTATATTAGAATATAAAATTATAGCATAATCAAATTTAATTTTGATCATTTCATTTTCTAGTAAACATAAATTATATGAGAACTCCAAAATTTTTTTCATTACCTCTATGAAGTTAATAATTTGGATTGCTCTTTTTCCAGGTTATAATTCAATTTTTAATAAATTTTTGAAGAATACTCTTAGTTGAATAATTTTTTTCATCATAAAATTTACCCACGAATTTAGACAATTAAGTAGAGATCTATGAAACTGATTTGTTTAAAGTTAAATCTAAGAATCTGAATCTGTAATTAATTAGTTGTTAAACATAAAAAATCTCATATCATTTCAAAGACTGGAAATTTTAGTATGTTAATAAAATCAAAGAAAGTAACAAGATTTAGAGCAGATATGAAAGGAATATTTCTTGCTTTAATATTTTACTACAAAAACAATTTATTTTTTTATTATTGCTAATTGTATCTATGTTTTTTCCTTAAATTATAAAGCGAAATATAGAAAATATAGATCAAATCTTTCTATTGAGAATATATTATATATTATTGAAGTTTATAAAGATTGATAAATTTAATAACAAGTTAAAAATAGTCTATTAAATAATCCTAATTTTTCTATTTCGATTGAAATCATTATCTATATTATATTTAATATTATTATACAATAATTGAATAAAAATAAATTTAAAATACTTTTATCAATTAGGATTATAATCTATAATAAGGGAATTGTAAAATTGTATCAATACAATATGAAAAGGATTAATTATTTATAGAAAAGGAAAAAAAAAAATTATCAATGGATGTATTGAAATTAATATATAATGAATAATAATATATCATTAATAAACATCATCATCGTCTTCCTCATCCATTGGTCCATCGTTTCCACCAGGTGGTTATTGATTGGGGGGATTTGCTTATTCTCTTTAAAGATGTTAAGCTAAGATTAAATAGAAGATTTACTAAATAGATCTCCATTTGCTTATTTCTCAAATAGATAATTGATAGCCATTTCTACATTTTTATCACATGCTAAATAACCTTCTAATGAGTCTTATTTAGTGAAACCAAGTCCCATAATCTAGAATAAGATAATTAAGTACAGTTTCAACATCTTTAAATTCTTATTAAGTTAATTAGATAGCTCCTGGAGGTGGACCTTATTATTAGCCTGCTCCTCCCATAAGAAGTTGTAATAACATTTCTGGATTTTATGAAACTTATGCATGTAACTCTGGATTAGTCTGTTAAAGTTGTGCTAATAATTAAGGTAATAATTAGAGGACAGCTTAAGGATTTTACTGATACAACTATCTTAATTATTAAAATTAAGGTGGTTAACCAACTGGCTATTAACCAGTAGGTTATGGTTATCCTTATCCACTAACAACTGGAGCAGGAGGATTAGATGAAACACCAGGAGGAATACCCTATTAATTAAATTAATATTATTATACATTTAATAAGTATTCAACAGCTCTATCAGGATTATTAAATGCTGCTTTCATAGCATTAACACATTCTTCTCTTTAAAATCCCATTGACATTAATTCTTCAATTGCTTTTTCATATTCTGGTCCTGCTAATAATCCTGTTCCAGATGATTATGATGGTGGTTTTGCTACTGGGGCTACTTATGGTTAAGGTGGTTATTATGCTGGTAATTATTAAGCAGGTTATTAAACTGGCTATTATTAGACTGGCTATTATGCTGGGGGTTGTTAAGCTGGTTATGGCTATTGAGGTGCTTGTTTCTATATATTTTTAAATATATTTTATTACTTTGGCATTTACCATCACGACTAAAAATTCATTCTCTTGAATTCCCAATTCTGTTATTGTTGTTTTATCATCCAAAAGGGTTCCTTTTCTTAACAATTTTTGTTAACCAACTTCAAATTATTTCAATTAAAAGATCTTTTCTTTCACATTAGCAATCTAAAATATTTTGATTGATTATATACTGTATCTGTTCCTTCCACATCTAAAGGAAAGTTTTATCCGCTTAATGTTTTAATAATTATTTTCATAATTTAAATATTAATATTCAGATTAGGATATATTTTTTGTATATATTTTTATAATAACCATATTATATTAACAGCTATTTATTAAACATAATAAAAAACTTAATAAACAACATTTCTCATGTTACTCTCAGCTTTCTCTTAAAGGTATTCTAACTAAAATTTTGATATATTCATCAATTTTTGATATTTTCAATATACATTTATCAATATCAAATAATAAGGTTGTTTTGTTGATAATTAAACTAAGAATAATTGATTAGGTAATTATCTTATTTGAATTTGATTTCTTATAGGAAATATTCAATAGTCATATATCATTAAACATCTGCAAAATTATTGATGAGTTTTGTTAATAATTAGATTTATGTATTGGCTCATCTATAACTTTAAGCTCAACAACTAGTTCATATTTTAATTATTAGATAGGATCTTGAGAAAGTGTAATACTTGAATTAGTTACTAAAAATAATTCCTAAATTTAAATTTGATTTAGATATTTCATTAAATTTAATTTCAATTTATGTTTAATACATAAAAAAGTAAGAATATGAAAAGATTATAATAATCATTTGAAGTTATAGCCATTATTATTATTATTTCGATTTCTTTTTATTAATAATTTATCTTAACCCTGCAAATCAGATTCATCATCTCTTCAACTTTTTGGGTTTATAATCTATGCTTTTTTTCTAATGATAATTAATTAAAAGTTTATTACTGCTATTGAATAATAATTCTGAGATTAATTTTAATATAATTGATTGCTTCTAAACTAATTATTGTTTTCGCTTGATTGTTAGAACAGTATCATAATCTATTCTTGCTGTAAGATCTCAGATACAAAATTTAAGTTCAATGTCTTAAACATGAGATATATAGAATTAGCTATTTTGGAAACTGAATTTAATGAAAATTAATAATCATATATATAGTTTTTGTTCTATCATGTAGTATTAATAATTTTACACAATAAACTTGCTCAACGATTTATTAAATCTAATATATTTTTATCAATAGTAATATTATTAAATGTAGCCCTTTTTTAATAAATAATTTATTTTCTAAGTTATAATCGATGAATTTAATCAGATGCATAAGAAATCTTAATAATTCTAATTTATTAACAGAATAATTAATAAATTTCAAAAACTAATTCTTTAAGACTATATATTTTTTCGGTTGGTTATTCAAAGACCCAAATATCTTCAAATTCAGAATCCCTTGTTACAGGAATGAAAATAGCATTACCTTCATATTGATTGATTTATCAATTAAAATAATGCTTATTTCTCTTTTTAAAATGAGTTTTTAGGATAACTCTCTTCATCTATTTTCATTTACATCCAATTTATAGAATAAATAAAGTTTCTACAATCTTTTAGTTAACTATCATCACGATTAACTAAAAAACTAATTCAGTATTTCTCATACTTCTTTAATGCCTAGTTGAAAAATTAATATAACTGAAGGAAATTAGATTATACAAATGTTGTCTATTATTCGAATTCTTTTCCACATTTTTTCGATCAAATTTATTAAGTTAAGTATATTATCAAACTAATATGTAAACTCATTCTACGTATTTTTATCATATTCATTGAAATGAATTTCCCCTATTGCAAATATAGTCTAATTAAGAATTTTTAAAAGTTCGTAAATACTAAACTTCTATTCTTTATCTATCTTTTCAATATCTTTCCGAAATATAAATATTTGCTTCAATAATAGAATTTTTATGTAATCAATTTTTTTTGTTTCTTTTGAAGAACAATATGTTTTTAGATTCATTATTCTAAATCCTTTTTGTATAAACCTGTTTTTACACTAATTGGATAAATATTTAAAACTCACCATAATGAAGTTTATTCAATTAAGACATTTATATTATGTATTATTTAAATTTTTTGAATTTCTTATGAAATTTTCAAAAAAATTATTATTCACATCTTATTTTTATCGACAAATAATTGTATTAATATAAAATACTGAATAATGAACATCAAATTGATACTATAAAGTGAATTTATCATCTAGTTTGAAATTAGATACAAACTAATACAATCTAATTTTCAAATAAACATTTCAACTAAAACTTCATTAATTTTATTCCGTTGCTCAATCTCATTCATTTCTATTATAGTTAAATTAATTCTTAAAAAGTTGTTTCATTATTCCTCAGTTAACTTTAGATTTTTTAAAGGAATTAAAAAAAATCCTTAAAAATCACTTAACATTTGAAATATCACTATATAAATAGACAATGCGATTTAATAAAATGTAGCATTTGATATAATTCTAATATTCTTTAATAAAATGAACAATGTCCTTGTCACTAAAGAAATTAAAATACTTAAAGTTTCTAATTGTCAAATCATACAAAATGACCGACCTATCTTATATAATGATTTTAATTATATCATAGAAGTATCCTGGTTTCTGATATTAATCCTAATAAATATCAAATACTATACGCAATATTTATTAGGGTTACTGTAATTGATTATTGTATTTTTTATTATATTAAAAGATGAACCATAAGCAACATCAATCTCAACAGCTAATACATACAACTACCAAAAAATCTCGCTTTTATACTCAATCGTAATTCTATCCTACATCTCTTTTAGGAACAAAAGTGATCCAAATATTTAACATGATAGAGAATAAATGTTTTCAAATCTTAAATCAATCATTTAAAATAATCAAACTATTCTTTCCTCAAGAACAGAGACTACTCCAATAATGAGAAAAAAAAATGAAACTTCAAAAACTAGTTGCACTTGCAATATTTAATGAAAAATAGATATAAAATGAAATTCTTATATGTCAGTATCTACTGAGTCTTGAAGTATAATGAATTTCTAAGCAATTATATATATATTAATATTTTAATATTTTTCTCAAAAACTGTTAATTATTTAAACATATAATAATGAGTTTAAGCATCCGATTAGTTCGAACACCAAATGCTGCTTGGGAAAAACCAAAATAAATTTTAGATGAAGAATCTCTGATATAAAGATAAGCTGCTTATGATGAGAAAGTCAAAGAATAAATATTTAATTCTGATGCTAATCCTATTGAAATTAAAGAAGATGAAGAAGAAGAAGAAGATGATGTTGAAGATATTGATGATTATGCAGATGATCTCTAACCACATGATTTATGACTCATAAATATTATCCACTTTTATTTTATTTCCCAATTATTTCTAAATTCAAAATTTTATCATAATTCTGATTTTCAAAAAATTATTAAAATACATCTCAATATTAAACATATCTTCTAAAAACCTTAAAATATACATATAGATCATTTAAAAAATAAAAATATTAATAATATACTATTTTATTAAACACTCTTGTCTTGTTTAATTTTTAGATATTCCTTTTCTAAAAATATTTATAAAATTCAAGATTTTCATTGTTATCTACATCTACAAATTAAAAGGTTCAACCAATTTTCAAATAACTCTTCTTAAAATGATTATAAATAAAATTTTTATATATTATATATATAACATAAATTCATTAACAATTAAAGGAAGAATAATACAATATTTTTAAAATTAAAATTTTCTATTCTCAAATCAAAATTTAATTCTTTTTTTCTTATATTTATGATGTCAATCGTAAATATTGAAGATGAGAAGAAAATCCTAAACTTGTAAGTTTACACCTAGCTAATTTTTTAATAAAATTTTATTTTTTCAAGAATTTCTGTAAACTTTTTTATATCATAACAATGGAAAAAAAGAGCTTGTAAACTCCAATATTAAAATTCTTACTTAAGATAAAAAGAGTCTCAATTAAGAATTGATTATATTTGATAACTAAATTTTAGATTCATTATTGATTAAAAGTTTATGAGTGCCTTATTTATTCAAAAATAAATTGAATGCTTTATTATATACTCAGAGTGTTATTTTTTCTTTATGTAAATATTTAATCAGTAAAAAAGAATATTAATAATCATAAAAATGAATATGATTAGTTCTGCTGAAAATAATCTTTTAAATAATGGTGAAAACTTTCAGGATGGTATAAGAATGAAAATATAATTAAAGATCTTTCAAGACCATTTGGTTTACAACTGAAATTTAACTAGTTTGAAGAACTATAAAAAAATACATATGAAGAGATGGATGTATTAGCTAGTCCAACAATTATTAAATAAGATTAAAAGAAGAAAATTGAAGCACGTTCATCTTAAGGATCAGTATTTCGATTTCTAAAAATATTACAAAAAAAGACATAATAATTGAAAGAAAATCGAAAAAAGCTTTCCTTTTTTCAAAATATATATTAAGAAAAAATACTTCACTCAGAATATAATAAATAAAAATAAACAAGGAGTAAATATGTTGTTGATCCAACTAATTCAATAGCATTAGTTTTCTAATTTTTTAAGTGTTTGGTTATATTTTTGCTTCTTGTGATAATAACTTACATTTGGAGCTTTGAAGATTTGACATAATTGATTGAAAATAATAGCTATTTATATATTATAATGATATTGATAATAGACATATCCCTGCAATTTAATTTAGCAATAATAGTTAGAGGATAAGTAATAATTAATAAGAAATTAGATAATATACGATAGAGTAATGATTTTAAAAAAGTATATTTCAAGACAATTTTTTGAAGATATGATTTTTTTAGTTTCCTTGGTCTTAATAATCCATACATCTTAAATAATGTTTGTAATAGTATTTTATGCTAATGGTATTGGGATGCTATTTAAAATTATAAGAAAATTAGAGGAGTTATTTGATTTGAGTGTTACAAAGACAGAATTATTGAAGTTGTTGAAATTGCTTTTTTTTATAAATTTATTAGCACATTTTATAGCATGTATTTGGTATTCGATTGGATTGAATACAATAGATGCAAATAATAATTGGTTGGATTCTAAATAAATAAGAGATGAATCAAATTTTATTAAATATATATATTCTTTTTATTGGTCTGTTGTTACTATGGTGACAGTTGGATACGGAGATATCACTCCATAAAACTATTTAGAAATGATTTTATGCATTTTCATAATGTTTTTATCTTGTGGAGTGTATGCTTATTCATTGAATACAATAGGATAAATAATAACAATTTTAAATCATGAAACAGATAAATTGGAGAAAAGTTTTAGAACTTTAAATAAGTACTTTAAATAGCACAATATAAAGGATGAATTGTAAAGTAGAATCAAGAATTATTTAGAGTATAAATTGAGAGAAGAAGAAAAATAAAGTTAGAATGTATTATTCTAATTTAATAAAATAGGTATACACTGTTTTAGATTAATTATCTAATCATCTTCGATTTAAGATTATATCTGAAATTTATTAAAGTATGCTATCAAAATGTCCACTACTTCAAACAAATTTTTCAAAAAGTACTTTATTAAATTCTACATCTTTACTTGAAACTCTCAATTATGAACCTGATGATTTAATTGTAAGTTAAAATACATTAAATGAAAATGCACTTTATTTTATTGATTAAGGTACAGTAGAATTATTTGAATAAAGAACTAAAACAATGTTAACTGAGTTTACATCTGGAGATTCTTTCGGATAATATGAATTCTTTACTAATTCTCAAGCTGCATTTACATACAAATGTAAGACACATACAAGAGTATTTAAACTCTCACGATCTAAATTTTTAGAAATTCTCAATAAAGAAGATTTTGAAATCTTTCATTATATTAAACATTGTTTTGAATTTAATTTACCTGTAAAACATTCCGAATGTATTATTTGCCATTAAAATGATCATTTAGTTCATTAATGTAAATTGTTATTTTATATTCCTGATATTTCAAAATTGGTAATCAGATAATAGAATGTCAAATAAAGAAGACAATTAAAACAAAGAAGAATTCAAAGAGAGAACAGTTTTTCTATATTGCCTGTATTTTTTTCATTTTTATTATTTTAGTAAGTTTAAGAAAAATAATTTGAATATTATCAACAATACATCTAAGAATATTCATAGAAAGAAATTTTTGAAGATGAAAATATAATTATAGGTGCTGATTCATAAATTACTTCATTGATGTATAATACATTAAAGGCATCTGAAATTTAAGTTCAAGTATCAAATCAAATTGATCATGGAAAAGAAATTCTAAAAGCAAATAGTTACAGAAAAATCAACTCTTAAAATGTCAAAACTAGATAATCTTTACCAGAAACAGTAAATAATCTTGATACACCAAATAAAATAATAAAATCTACTTTAAAACAACTAGATACAATACAAAATTAAACAATAGTTTTTGATAGGATGAAAGATTTCAATCAATATTTTTGTGAAAACAATTATGATATACAAATTCGTAAATATAATTAAAATTATGTTGAAAAAGGGTTTTTAACTACAACTAGAAAAAGAGCAGGAAGGGCAATGAGATTTATTTAATTATGAATTATAAACTACATACATATTTAAAGATCTTTTTAAATGAATTAGAATAATTAATTTTTTTAATTTTTAATTTTATTCATGAAATTGTGATGGAGAATCTAGTTAATATTTTTATTTCTTTTATAAAATTGAATAAATTTAAATGTGTTTAAAAAAAAGTAAATTTTTACTAGTTATTTTATAAAAATATTTTAAAATTTGTCTAATAAATCTATTTAGTAAGAATAATGGATAACACTATTGTATGTTAAAGTTTAAAATTACTTGTTTTAAATAATTAATTGTAAAAATAATATAGAACATAAATTAAAGATGATTAGTTTTAAAAAGATGGATGTATTTGAGACATTGAATATATTATATAAAATATAATGAATTTTGTAAATAATATTTATCCATTTAATAAGATGTGAACCCCCCAGAATTTATGAGGGGAATTTTAAATAAATAAATTAAAAATGAATAGAACTTCAAAAGCTAAGGTGTTCGTACATAGTGACCGTTAATGGGAAGAGATTTGCGTAGGGTATGTTTAAATTGTGCATACAGATGGTGTTAGTTTTATAAGAGGAATATTGGAAAAAGAATTGAAGTAATGTCCTAATATAGTGAAATTTTGTCATATGAATACGGGCAGAAATGAATGGTGCATAAATTTAAGAGTGAATCCAGAAATAACTTATGAGTAGCAAGGCGATAATATCATTTCTTGGGAGGAAATTGATTAGAAATTAGAAATAGCTATAAGTTTTATTGATTGTAGATATTCATCTGAGTTTTGGAATTAATTATAAAATAGTAGAAGAAATTTTCGATACGATGATCCAGAATCAACGTATCCTATCATACCATCTCAATAGAATCTAGAAGCAGTTTAACTATGGATCAGTGATAATCCCGATCTAATAATATAAAAACTTACAACTGATCCACATTGCACTTTTTTAGAAGAATTAACAAAGATATTTTAAGATGCTGAAGCATAATAACATCAACATACATTAGAATAATTACATTATGTAATTAGAAACTTAAGTATATATATTTTATGTATCTCTTTTAGTATATTTAAAAAATTTAAATGTTCTCAAGAGATTGCTCAGTGACAAATTTTATATGACTTTATTTGGAATTATGGAATGTAATTTTATATTTTTTAAATTTAGATCATTCCGAATATAGAGGACCACAAAGAGTGTCTTATAGGAATTTTTTAACTTCAGAATTAAAATTTCATTTAATAACAGAGTTGAATCCAGAAATAATGGAAAAAATTCACTTTAATTATCGATTATCATATTTGAAAGACAGTGTTATGGCATATTATTTGTATTTACAAGATCCAATATATTATCAATTTAATTTTTATATAATTGAGAATAACAAGTAAATATTAGAGAGTCTATTATTAAATCATAAAGAATAATTTGAAGAATTTTTGATAAATTTCATTGACAATTTGGAATTGAATTGTAAGTTTATAAATGAATTTTTTTTGTCATTTAAATAATTTTTATAGATTCAATCTTTGAATGATGCATTTGTTAGTTGCATAGGCAAAGCAGATTTATTAAGGGTATTATTTTCAAAGACTTTAGAAATATAATAACAGTAACTATGTTTTACAACATTGCAATTGACTATTATGATAGCAAATTCTAATTCGCAATACTTCTAAGAATTTTTGAAATAAAATCAAGAATTATTTTGGTAAAGCATGGAAACATTACTACTCAGTAACATGACTACTCTTAATAGTATGATTATAGACATAATTCAGTATATCTGTTAGAATTAAGCAATTTTAGGATAAGGAATAGATTGGTTAATGAGATGTTTTAAATAAAGATTAAATTCATCTGCAATAGCATCATTATAAGAGATTGTGTAATTAATTTGTTAATAATAAAAAACATTTTCTTAAGAATTGATAATACTATCAAATCATATATTGGATATTTTGGATTAGTAGATAAAATTAACTATAAAAGATAAATTTATGATAATGCCTACATTGAAACATTTTAAGTATTTATGTACTTCCAATTATTCACAAATTGTTAAACCTTATTGTGAGTCATTCATTAAGATCAGTACAAGTTAGAAAATATTTGGAGTTTTAGAAGGTCAAATAAGAGATATTATAAAGTATATAAAATCAAATACAACACTTAGTCAATATATTGTATGAGATTGATATATTATATAGGTTATTTAAGTTAGGATTTTGAATCTTTAGGATCATTCACTCTATGCAAAGTTAGTTTAACAGTATTCTTATGTTCGTATAGAGGATGGATAAAAAACAAGAATGTAGATGGAGGATTTGAAATATTATGAAAAAGATGATTCAGAGGAATAAGCACTTTAACAATAACAATAAACAATCTAATTAATTAGATAAGATATAAGATTGAACTTTAGCAAGATTGTCAGAAAGAGAAATGATGAGGATGAAGATGAAGATGAAGTAAAAGTGAGAGAATCATAACCTAAAGGAATCATTTTTAGGGATAATTGTTTTAAAAGAATAAAAACAGACGATGATGATGATGATGAGAATTGATTTTATCTTATTACTCAATATAATTATCCCAATTTTATATATTAAGAAAGTCAAATTATTTTTGTTTTTAAAAATATTCAAAAACTATTTTTTTTTTTATTAAAACAAATGAAAATGATAAAAATGTTTATTTACTAATAATTTAGCATTAAAAGATATTTTTGCAGTAGATGGTAAATTAGAAAAAATATTTTTGATCTTACAAAATTTAATTTTTCCATAATTAAATTTTTGTTAATATCAATTAGAAGCATTTTATTTAAATAATTTCATGTTTATATTTCACCAGAGGATAGCTTTATATTAATCGTGCTTTTTATTACATAAAATAAAATATTATTGGTCTAAATCTGTAATTCTAGCTAACATATTAAATTCTTTAAGTTTTAATATTAGATCTAAGTAATAAATTAATATCAATTAATTAGCATAGTCATCTACAACTATAGTAGCTAATATTAGTAATAATATAATCTTCTATATAATTTTATCATATTGTAAAATTTGATTGACCAAATAATAAATATAATCATATTTAGATTATATAAACTTTGAGCCCTACCTATCCTCTAGGTAAGAATGCAACCATTAAATATAAGAGTGATAAAATCTAGATGATCATTATTCTTAAGTTTGTTAAATATCAAAATTTAAATACTTTTTTTATATAGATCACTCAGTAAAGCTACAAAGTATAGTACAGTTCTAGCTTAATTTTAAGATGTTATTATTATATTTAGTAACTTAAATGATAGCTATCCAAATGAGTAATGATCCCAATTAGGATAGAAGTAAAAACAGATAAGGATTGATAAGGAAAAAACCCTGAAAAAGGAATGAAACTATCAATAAGATTACTCCTGTTAAGAAGAATAGTAAGAATCAACGTTAAGAGTCCACTTTATTGATATTGATTATTGTTCATTAATTTTAATATAATTAAACATATTAGATTGCTACATCTGGAAATTCTGTGATAAGACCATGGATGTTCATTTTGACTGCTTAATAATATATACCTTTAGCAATAGTTGAGTTGAACATATTTTGAGTTCCACTATTATCATCTTAGAATGTCCAAGCATAAACCATCATTTAATTATCTTTAATAAGTTAAACTTCTGGTTATGTAGTCTATGTCTTTTGATTCCAAACTGATGCTAAATCTACTCCAATAATGTTTGTATATTTTGTAGCTTCAGCATAAAATGTTGATGGTTAATTTTGNTAATTTAGCATTAAAAGATATTTTTGCAGTAGATGGTAAATTAGAAAAAATATTTTTGATCTTACAAAATTTAATTTTTCCATAATTAAATTTTTGTTAATATCAATTAGAAGCATTTTATTTAAATAATTTCATGTTTATATTTCACCAGAGGATAGCTTTATATTAATCGTGCTTTTTATTACATAAAATAAAATATTATTGGTCTAAATCTGTAATTCTAGCTAACATATTAAATTCTTTAAGTTTTAATATTAGATCTAAGTAATAAATTAATATCAATTAATTAGCATAGTCATCTACAACTATAGTAGCTAATATTAGTAATAATATAATCTTCTATATAATTTTATCATATTGTAAAATTTGATTGACCAAATAATAAATATAATCATATTTAGATTATATAAACTTTGAGCCCTACCTATCCTCTAGGTAAGAATGCAACCATTAAATATAAGAGTGATAAAATCTAGATGATCATTATTCTTAAGTTTGTTAAATATCAAAATTTAAATACTTTTTTTATATAGATCACTCAGTAAAGCTACAAAGTATAGTACAGTTCTAGCTTAATTTTAAGATGTTATTATTATATTTAGTAACTTAAATGATAGCTATCCAAATGAGTAATGATCCCAATTAGGATAGAAGTAAAAACAGATAAGGATTGATAAGGAAAAAACCCTGAAAAAGGAATGAAACTATCAATAAGATTACTCCTGTTAAGAAGAATAGTAAGAATCAACGTTAAGAGTCCACTTTATTGATATTGATTATTGTTCATTAATTTTAATATAATTAAACATATTAGATTGCTACATCTGGAAATTCTGTGATAAGACCATGGATGTTCATTTTGACTGCTTAATAATATATACCTTTAGCAATAGTTGAGTTGAACATATTTTGAGTTCCACTATTATCATCTTAGAATGTCCAAGCATAAACCATCATTTAATTATCTTTAATAAGTTAAACTTCTGGTTATGTAGTCTATGTCTTTTGATTCCAAACTGATGCTAAATCTACTCCAATAATGTTTGTATATTTTGTAGCTTCAGCATAAAATGTTGATGGTTAATTTTGTAATCCAGTCATTAAAAATACTCTTGGAAGATCAGTCAATTCTCTTGAAGCTTTTATGGCATTCATATCAAAACTCATTATCACAATTGGAACAACATTCTTACAATCTTTTATTGTTCCTATACCAAATCTTTATAATTCATCAATGACTAATTCAACTATTGATACTCCTGCGTATTCTAAATGATACTACGTCATAAGATGTATATATACTTAGTAATCTTTTATTTCTAATAGAATCCCAACAGGCTTTTTGTTAGGATTTCTTTAGTTTGCTGTACGATTGTTAAAATTCTTTACTTATGTTAAGACCTCCCATAATGTTGGATAAGTAAAAAGACCATCAAACATTTTTGGTCTTGTTGAACCTCTCACTTAATTGATTCCAACTCTTTTTAATTCATCAATACTGAAATCAATCAACCACCAATCATCTCTTACTTATCCATTTATTGTTCTTTTTCTTTATCTAGATGAATATTCTGTCATTTATTTAATATTCGAAACTGCACTCATAAATGTATCATGTGCTACTATTACTAAACAAATTTATAAATTATTCAATATTTACATTGTAATTCTTTATTTAGGACAACATCTAATTCAATGAAGTCTGTTCCTTAAAACATTGCACCTTCAAATGATTATGCTGTATTTTCTATTTAAATAAGACATCATAATACCTGGAAAGATTGAACAAAGTCCACGATGAGCAGCAATCTTAGGACGATCAGATTATGAAATATAATCAGCTGGACTAATACTTGAAAAGGCAACGCAAACTAAAAATATTAGGTAATACATCACTAAATTTAATTATTAATGAAAGTATAATTAAATTCATAACCACGATTAAATAAGAGTTTATAGCTTATGATGTGCATTTTATACTCATGAATCAGAAATTCTAATTGAGAATCCTAAATATTTATTGGATAATCAAATCTGGGAATAATACATAGATTAGATTGAATAAATAATATTTAAAATATTGTAGTATTATAATTTTATGTGACTTATTTCAGAAAAAGATAATAATAATCATAGTATACATAATAAGTAGAATGAATCTAATTTTTCAAAGAAAATTAATATTTTTTAGAATGAATATAGAGTTCGCACACAAAACGATAATCCATTGATTAAATGGTATTATCAAGTCAAAAATAAATAATTTTTTTTATTAAATCCTCAAGAGTTATGGTTTTCCACATCTAAAATATAGATTAATTTGTAAATTATATTCTAATTCATATATTAGAGTTTGATTTAAATATATTTTTATCTATTTGAATCGTTCTACTTGAGAGTTTGTCTTATTATGTTTGATATCTTCTTTTTTTATTTTTATTTTAAAATTAATATCTTGATTAATTACATATCATTTTTAATTGAGCAAAAAAGTAGGGATTAGACTTTAAATTAACTTTTTAGTTAAATTAAGGGTTTGTAAATATTATTTTTAAAAGTCTGAAATGTAATAGAATATTTATAAAATAAATGATAAATTTGAGTATAGAGAATAATATATTTGATGGTAGATATTCAAATGTTATTCTTAAACATTCAAAAGTGAGACTTTATAAGATAAGTAGATCTAAGTTTAATTTGTAGATTGGCCAGTATGGAGTGATAAAAAATTGTGTAGGTGATATGTATATTGAAGGGTATGTTATGTTATTGGAAGATTAAGTAGAGATAAGAGAGTTTTAAAATTAAGTATTAGGTTATTTGTCAATAGATGGGGTATATAAAAGAAGTATAAGATATCAGAAGATGGAGATAAAGAGAGAAGAATGGATTTGAGAGATATATTGGTATATTCAATATGATGTAAAGATATCGATGATTGTAAAAGTATGAATAATAATTAAAATGAAGTTGGTGTTCTTATAGCAGACGAATCATATTTTTTAAGACTATATATAGCAATAGATGAGAAGCTGCTCATAGATGCACAACAGAATATTTAGTAGATAGAAGGACAGATATGTTACCAAAAGTATTAAAAGAGAATTTATGTTCATTATTTTGTAATATAGATAGATTATCATTTACAGTTATATGGATAATGGATGAAAATGCTAATATAAAGGATGTAAAATTCAGTAAGAGTATTATTAGATCTGTTGCATCTTTACATTATTAATAAGCTAAAGAAATAATTGAAAATATTAATGATAATAGTCAATTAATTTAGAGCATAAGATCTTTGTATGTGTTAGCTAAGAAATAGAAATAATAAAGATTAGATTAAGGAACATTATCATTAGCTAATAATTAAGTTAAATTTTAATTTTGATGATGAAATTCATAATCCAAGTGATGAACGTATGTATTAATTGTATGATACGAATTCTCTTGTTGAAGAGTTTATGCTTTTAGCTAATTGTTGAGTAGTAAACTAAATTTTATAAATATTTCCATCAATATCTGTTTTACGAAGACTAAAGAGAGCTTTAAATCTAAATGAATGATTTGGGTTATTGAAATATATTAATTTAGAATATTAATTTAATATGAAACATCTAAATTACTAAGTGAATCATTGGATTGTAATAAAAGACCAAACGATTAATTTTTAAATAAACTTATTCGTATGATATCATCTATGTCAAATAAGATTAGAATGACTAGAATATGTGATAACCTTAATATGAGACATAGATAGATTTGCTAGTAGTATTGATACTTATCTATTCTTTAAAGATAGATCACAATAAATTGATTAAACCATTATCACCATCTGAAATATGGATTAGAAGGTACAATAGATGTATAAATAATTGACGAAATGAATATTATTATCTAAGATATTGATCATAGAATTTTAGATTACATATCTGTCTAAGTCTCAGTTGAATTACATAGTTTCCATGTCATTTGAAATATATTCAAAATAATATATGATATCAATTATTCATATTTATTAATATCTATTCTAGTCATACAATCTGGATTGTTTCTCTTCATCCTCACTCATTCCTATCAATATTCCTCTACCTCCAAAATCCTATTCACTTAATTAAGTAAAATCTTATTCTGATTAAACATATTATTTAGCTTCTTTCATACTTTAAATTGCCCTCTTAAAACAATCCTTCTGTCTAAATTCACCAAATACATATGATATCTTCTCTATATAGTTCTATCATTATTACAACAATACATTTGACAATCTTAGGATCATCCCATCAAAATAAAACCATTCAAATATTGCTAACTGAAATCCAAATATATATATCCAATCTTCTGTATAATAAAATACACTCAATGGTATTACCAATATTAAATAAATGTTTTGTATTTAAAAAAAGTAAAAACTCATCTTCTTATATGGTGATCCAATTAATCTTTATAAATTTATTATTTTCTTACTTACTACATAAATAATACATTGTTAATCCTCCTAACCCATAACTGTATGTATAAATTTATTATACATCATAACATGATAATCCATAATTCACCAAAAAATATACCAATTCTAATATAAAATTCTTAAAAAATATATCCAATATAAAATATGCACTTCCTACTATTGTTTCATAATTATTTGTTATTAGTTAAAAAATTAACCAATTCTATAAAATTTGAACATAATCAACTATTACAATAGATCTAACATTACTTGAATATAATAAAGAAGTTAATAATCTCCAATAATCTCCTTAATATACTAATAAATTATGCTAGATCAATTTATTCTCTATTTCATATCCACATCCATTTATAAACAATAATCCAACTTACATAATCAAAATCAAAATTTGACCAAATCCTAAATTCTTCCACCATTATTATATGTATGGTACAATTTTCGGTATAGGTTGCATCATTATATATTATTATTTTAATTATTATTATTTTATAATCAATACCAATTTCAGTTCGATTCTCTTCATCCTTAACATCTTCAATTTATAAATATATTTAACTTTATACAGTAACTATTTTATGAAACAATCATTATAACTTTTAATTTAATATGGATTTTTAGGTAAAACTAAAATTAAGCATCTTAATATTGTTTGTACCTGTAGGGTTTATTGCTTTACTACAAATAATAACATTAAATGTAATATTTATTACAAACTTCTCTAAAAAAGCAGAACAATTATCATTTGAATTCTATAATGAAACCACTCAAACCACACTCAAATTTCGCCATTAACTCGAAACCATAAATTTAGCTATCAAAGTTAATGCAGCCTTTATCTTATAAGATTTAATGAACTCTAATTAAAAAATAGACCTCAATCTAAACTTATAATAAATCTAGGTCTTCCTTCAACCCATTATTCATAGAGGCTTATTAGAAAACTTTAAAATTATATGCAACAATTCTTTTGAATATGCAATCAAACATATTGAAAGCAACTTTTAAATTTGGAATTCTACTGATTAAGCCTTTATTGAAATATATTAGGATTACTTTCGATTCATTATAAGTGCCAATAATCATCATCACTGTAATATATAAATATTCGAATCTATTTCTAATTTATTTGGTAAAGCCTACAGATATACTAATTATAAATTATTGCAAAATCAATTAAACTATTTCATGATAAATGAATAATTTTATTAATTTACTTTAAATCAATTCTTACCAATTCAAAAGAACTTATTAGAAGATTAATATGGAGATTTCGTACAACAATTACTTATTTAATAAAACTTTGATAAAAATAACTGCTTACTCTAAAATACTTTAATATATAATTTTACAACAAATTATTTCATTTATGGTTGGTTTTATTCAATACAAAAATAACATATCAAATGTGAAAAATAATACATATCAAAATTTTTAGTCATCAAGATTTTTGACATTGAATAATTTAAATAATTAGCAGGTTCATCTGCAGATGAATCAAATCATAATATATATTTGATTATAGCATAAACCTTCATCAGTTTAACCTTCTTATTTTATGTATGGACAATATCCATTAAAGTTTCAAATTCTTTTTGTCTCCCACTTTAACAATTAGCCATCCAATTATAAAATCCTTTATAGTCTCATTTAGATTCGATTCCATTTAAATTACAAAAATAAAATTGTAAAGAAATCAATCAACTTTAAGAGAGTTTATAAACTTATATCTATTATTATCAACTTCTAAAAAAGTAACATTCCTATTCTGATTAAGATTAAGGATCTAATTATTTAATGACATTATCTTAACTTAGTTAAGTATATAAATATCATAAAAATAATTGGTAAGTAAGTGTTTGTGCAAATAATATTGCTTAAGTGCATTATAAAAACAAAAGATATGTTGAAGCACTTAAGTTTCAAGCAAAATCAGTTATTTTGGGAATTGAAGAATATACTAGCATTAAATAGATTGAAAAAATAAGAAAATAATTATTAAATAGTTAAAAAACTATATTATTTCAACTGAAATAGAAATTAAAGAGGTTTGTGATTAATAAATTAGCTGGAAGTACTAATATTTTATAATCTGAACATATGAATAGATATCGTTTTTAATCTTTCATTATTCAAAATTCTTATAAATACTCTGAAGGCTAATAAATATAATTAACTGAGAGAATGGCTTAGATCAATAATTAATATAAAAGTGATAATTCGTTGGATAGAATGATTTTTTAAGAGGAATTAGAATTAAGAGAAGATTAATATAAAGAAGAAAAACGATTTTATAAGTTAACTATTTTATTTAGGAAGTTTACATTTTGCAGAATGTTATATAAATTTTGCATAAAAGAATAGCCTAGTTTTATTAATGAAGCTATTTGCTCATTTAATGAATTATATGAAGAGATTTAAAATAAAAGTTATTCAGAAAAAAAATCAATAATTGGAATTAAAATATCATTATTAATAATGAAATTTAGTTGTTTCTAATAATTAAATTTAATGGAGAGAGCTTAAGAAGAATTATATTCAATAAAAATTCTTTATTAGTAATATTTAATGTCTGAAAATACAAAATTAGTTTTTAATGGATATGACATTTTTTCATTGTAATCAAAAGAGATAATTTAAAACGCCATTAGAAAATTAAAAATCTGTGTATTAATAAAAAATTAAGAATTTTAAATTGCTAGTGAGAAATGTATTAAGATTATAAAGAAAAATAGTTAAAACATTTATAGATTAAATTCATTTGCTTACAAGACATTGTCAAGCATTTTCATGACACTGAATCTTAATTAAGATGTATTATAAAAACTCTATTTAGACATTAATTCAAGAAAGTTTAACCTTTTCTTTTTGATAGACTATTCATCTAAGGTATCTTTGGAATAAATTTAAGTATCACATTCTTTATGTTCTTATATAATGTAAAAGTTGATAAATTTAAGAGAAGTAGGATTATATATTTTTAATGATGCTCTTTATGAGATGTTACCAGCTTCTGAATCTACTTAATATAGAAAATTTCTTTTGAAATAATTAGAGAGATTTTAAATTCTAAAAGGAGGAGAATGTAAAGTCTTTGAATGTCTATACGAATTATTAAAATATAAATTGAATACAAAACTAAATAAGAATGAAATAAGATAATCTAGTTAATAGATTACAATTTCAAAGAAGTAGGAGGAATTTAAATAAATAATGTAAAGTTTTGTATGTATATTTTCTGAATTTTCAACAATATTTGATGAAGATTTATTGGAGAAGATTCAGATATAAATTTAAAAAGATGATATAAATTTGGTTATTTTTAATATAGCAAATTCTAATCGTAATCATGCTTAGGCTTAGAGGTTTGCAAAATAAATGAATGCTTATTATATAGAAAGTGATATAGAAACAATAGAATGGATTTCTCATTTAAATTAGTCTTCAATGCCTATTCATGAATAAGGTTATCTTGAATTTTTATGATAAAATAATAATGAATTTTAATTAAGTATTCCGATATCTATTTATTGTGATTTAGTTATTTATAAATGAATATAAAATAATAATTATTAGTATATATGAATTATATTAAGTAGGATATGATGATAAATTGTTCAAAATTGTTTTCTCTGATTCTGCATATTAATTTGTTAGAGCATTTCATTTTTAAATTAATCTTTAAGCACTTCAAATTTGGGAATCATTTATTTTTAGGAAGGTAGTGCTTAAAAAGTAACAAAATTAGTAAAAATTTATTGATTTGGTTTGCTTTGTTCTGAATCAGAATCAGAATCACTTAAACTTTCATTCAAATAACTAGCCAAAGGGTCTTTCTTAATTGAAAATTGCTTAGTGCTATTTTAATTATATTATAAAGTTCCTCCAGAAGTTTCAGTATTTCGTTTGAGTTAGTCTTTTTTTTCAGAGCCTTTAGAGAGTTTAACTTCATTTTGAATTTCAATTTATTATTGTGCTTATTATTTACAAATACTTCCCATTTTAATTTTAATAATAAAATCAAAATAAAAGAATTCTTTTCTTTCTATCTCTACGTTTGCACATTCCATACTTAACATTTTTTTCTTGTTGAAGTCTGTTGAATACATCGGAGTCAATTTTCAATTATTCATGATTGACATTTTCAATCCATACAATGGCTGATTTTAATTATGTGAAACAATATCCAGCATGACTCATCATTCTTGATTTATTAATAAATAGTTCTATGAAACTGAATTACATTATTAATTACTTGATATTACTTTACCATCTTATAGATTAAGCAAGAATGAGAACTCTAATAAAGGCTGGAAATACAGTATCTGCAGATGCTGGTTCTTAATTAACCTAAGAGATTGTATCAGTTATTAATTGAGTAGCTTTTAAGATGCAATCTAATTTATCAACTGAATTCTTTTTAGTATCAATTTAATTAATAACTTAAAATAAAAGAATAAAATATACTTTAAGCTGCACATTCTAATTATTAATCAATTTTAGATTTTATTTTAATACTTAAATGTTCATCATTAATCCATTCAAGTGTTTTAAGTCTTATATTTAATTCAATATCTCTTGCTGTAGGTTCTTTGGGATATAATTTTTCATAAATTAATCTTGTAAGATATCTCTCTACCATATCATCAATATTTGCTGTATTAGGTAGACTATTTATTTCAATTGATTTCATATAATCTGTTAAAGCAGAAACCACTTCTGAATATCCGCTGTTTATGCCATATTTATCAGGTTAAGAGGTTTCTTTTAAACTATAAGAACTTAACATGGCATCTCTTACTTCTGGTAATTTACAAAAAATTCGAACAAATTCACTCAAATCATTACAATGAAATTAACTCAATAATTCAACTCTAGGTATTTTAGTAGATTCACATTAAATTAATATTCTAAGTGTTTTTGTATCAAACATACAATGAAAACATTCTGATTAATTTTCTAACCAAATTTTATTTGCATTTAGCGTCAGTGTATTTCTAGATTTCACTTTTTCTTAATTGGCAAATAAATTTCTGGTTGCAGGAGAAGATATACAAAATTATACTAAAGCACCACTAATTTAATTAATAAAATCAGTTTCATAAGGTTGTGCATTTTGATCTAAAGAGGAACTAGTAATTTTCTATAAGAGAAGATAATCCTCTAATTTTTATTACTTTTAATCTGATTATTAAGTATAAGATTTAGTCATGAATTATGAATGATCAATTGAGTCTTCATCTTAAATTTATAATAATCCAGTAACCACACTTTAAACAACTCGAGGTTTTTGATCAAATTATATTGTCGATTATACTAAATTGTATGGCTTCTTATTATTATTGTTATTTTGATGTTAAAATTCTAAGTACATGTCATCATTTTTGAGACTAGATAATTACATGAATTACTCATCCTCTTTTTGATCCATTATTTATTATGATATAAATATTATTGTTGCTTGAAATTGTAATAGCTAATAATTTGAGATATTTAACAAAAGGAACAATATAAAATATATGGAATATTGAAGGATCTAAATGTTATGGAGTAATGTTTGATGCTGGTAGTAGTGGTACAAGAGTATATGTTTATTAATGGAATTGTAGAGAGACATAAACAATGCCATATGTCTCATTAAGTGAGAAATCAATAGAAAAGAAAATAAAGCCAGGAATATCCTCATTTGCATCTAAAATAAATGATATTCCTACTTATCTTTAACCATTAATTGATTTTGCAATAAGTAATGTTCCATAAGAAATGATGTCATATACTCCAATCATGTTAGGTGCAACAGCTGGGATGAGATTGTTGTCAATACAATAATAAACAGATATTATAAAATAAGTACAACATTTATTCCTTAAATCTGGGTTCCTTTTTTTAAGTGAATAATGGGCTAGAGTTATAACAGGATAAGAAGAAGTATATGACACTCAATTTAATATAGGGTGCTTATATGTGGTTATCTCTTAATTATCTACTCAATAGGATGTAGAATGAAGACTAAGTAACAACTATTGATTTAGGTGGAGCTTCTACTTAAATCTCATTCAAACCTAAAGGAAATATTGAAGATGGAGTCATCGATCTTATTATCCCTGATCTTAATGAATATGAAATCTTTAGTAATAGCCATCTACTCTATGGAATGGATTAAGCCTTAGTTTAGATACACAAATTATTCCAGGATAACTAAACCTTTATTATCAAAACTCCTTGTTATTTTAATGGATATTAAAATACTTATGATAATGATCCCAACTATACAGTTATTGGATTAGGAGATTATAAAGAATGCAAACGAATTATTAGACAATATCTTCATAATAATCCAGATAATTGTTCACATTCTAATTGTGGAATCAATGGTTCATATTAACCTAAAATTGATAACAACATTATCTATGCATTAAATGGAGTTTAAAGTATGGTCAGTTTGTTTGGATTTCAAAATTATACACTTTCTTAATATTCAAATAAAGTTATTAGTTTTACTTCTTTGATCTGGTCAGATATCCAACAAATACCTGAATATATCAATAATCCATATATTCATACAGATTTCTTCTCTAGTATTTATGTCGATGAATTACTCTCCTATGGTTATGCTATCAATAAAGATTAAATTATTTATAGTCCTGATAAAATTTATAATATTTCACCTTCATGGACTATTGCTGCTATGTTTTATCAACTAGCTCAAATCTAGTGTCAGTATGATAGTCCCATTTGTATTCAACTTATTAAATGAATATTTTTTAATCCATTATTAAACTAATACAAAATTATTATTTTATCATTTGGAAGATAGTTCTCAGATTTTTCTTTTTTTTGAATCTTACTTTTAAAGATTTTCTAAGTCTTTAGCAATTTGAACTGATTAATTTATCCAATCATTTAGCCAAGGAAATCTCTTATAGTCCAATACTTGCTTAAATATATTAATTCTAAATCTTACATGTATTTAATCAGATAATATCAACTCCACAATATATGCTACATATTTCTTAATCTTTTATTAATTCTCATTTAATGCCAATTATAGATATTGATCTAATTAAATCGGATGTAAAATTAATACTTAGAAAGTTTTAATAATGTTATAAATAGGAAGTATTTTGAAATAATTGCTTGACGAATGCATTATTCATTTTCTTCATTTCTTTTTTCTCTTTTAATTATTCCTTGTTTTGAGTTTATTTTTGGTACTTCATACTTTTACGAATAATAAACTTAATCATTTCTTCTCTTGTCTTCACAGCCTACACATAAAGTTACATTTTTTATACTTGTAAGTATCTAGTAAAGATCTAGAAGAAAATATATTTAAGTGCCTTTTTTTAGGACCAATAACGAAATGTTTTTTAATAAGTGAAAATCTATTCTTTAGATAAGTAATTAAGATTTTTCATGAGGAAATCAATCATTTTATACACTTCCTCTTGAAGTTATTCTTTAGTCAATTAGATTATTTATTATTATTAATTAAGGTTGAGTAGTTTACGTAAATGATGATTCTCTTCAGATAAGAATTAGAGTGTGGATTGGTAGTGCTCTATTTAGTTAGGTATAGAGGTATAATTTAATGGAATCATGTAATGTTAAAAATACAATTAATGTTCTTCCTATATCTATTATTTGTGTTATTATACTTATTTTATTATATTGTTTTCTTCTTCTTTCATTTTTTGTTATAAGTTTGAGTATTCTAAAAAATAAGTGAGAGATTAAATTAATTTAAAGATATTATTATATTATCATCTCATAAAATATATAAAACTATTATATATAATATTTATTAAACAGATGCTCAAATCTCAAAGTCTCATTAAGGCCATACGCAAATATCGAATGACCTTCGATAATAAGTAATATTAATCATGGAAATGGCATAACTATACTTAGTGGGCCGATCTTTCATTCAGACCCTTAATTATTATGTAGATCATTTTTATCATCATTAAATTATCAACTGTAGCCAATAATACACTATTGTGGATCATTTTTGGAGCTCAAATTTTTGTTCATTTTATCCTCTTTTCATTTGTTCCGAAAATCATTTACAAAGAATCAAAATTTTTATAGATTGTACCTCTAATCTAATAGGAATGCTTTTGTATACTTTGTTACTTTGTTTTAAATGAAAGTTACCTTATGTTTTACACTGCTATTTGTGTCATCTTTCAAAGCATGTACTCCACAATCTTATGTAAATTATTTGCTCTTGCCATCTTTTTTATTTAAACTTTCTTCCTTTCCAATATATCATCTTTTGAAGGATTATATCTAACTCTCTCTCTAATGATTATGTAAATTATCAGAAAAGAACTTTAATAATTGCAGCATTTCATCAATTTATAAGCCTTATTTTTAATTATTGATTCTACACCTTAAGCTATGTGTATTGCACATAAAGATAAAAATTGGTTACTCTATTCAAATAAGGTATTTGATAATTTAGCTTAAAAATTGGAGAGTACAAATCAATCAGAAACTGATTAATCTCCAGAAAAAACAACTTCTAACAACTTGACTAAAAATTAATTAACCTTTTTGTAAAATCTATAACTGGATGAATTAAATAATAATCAAAAATCTGCTCAATTTGATTTGGATGATGATGATCTATACATTGAGGATCAATATAAAATAAAGAATGTAATATATAGTAAAGATAAAAATACAATATAATCTTCAAGAGCATTTTTTTATGATACTCCAACAGATAGACCTAAAAATCATGTATAATTTTAAAAGTTTTTCCAATCATTTAAGAATCCTGAAGATGAATCTATAATAAAAAAGACTTTTACATCTGATGTAGCAATGAAAATTGAAGTTAACAATCCTCCTTAATAACATTTGACATCAGCAGGTAAGAAGAGTCCACGTAAAAAATCAAATATTCCAAATATAAAAGTACCTAAACCATATATGACTCCAAGTCGAAAAATATCAGCAGATTGTTTATTGAATAGTAAAGAAAATAGAAGTTCAGGTCATAAATAATCTTTATTAGATTAAGAAGGAAATTTGATTAATAAAACAAAACCTATATATGTTCACAAAATGAAATTCTTAATTAATGTATTAGAAAACTGTAAATTTTTTGATAATGATGATGAATTGTAAATATATTTTATTCATGAGGTAAATTAAATTCTGTTAAGAGCGAAATTAAAAAAATTAGAATCAATAAAAAAAAATTTGTTAAGATCAATATCTCATGAATTATTAACAAATTTCAATGCAGTCTTCGGATTTATAAAGCAAAGTTAGGATAGATTACTAAAGTAGGAATCTTGTCATTTGTAATTAGAATAGGCATTAAGTTACACAAAATTACAACTTTATAAGATATATGATTTTTTTGATTATAGAGATATTTTGGAGGATAGTTTTTAATTGAAATAAGATAAATTTGATATTAATACAGTAATTTTGGAATGTGTAGATTTGTTTAGAAATCAGATTGAGAGGAAATCTTTATTGATAAATGTAGAATTGCCTGAAACATCTTAAATAATAAGTGGAGATAGACAAAGATTGTGTTAAGTAATTTTAAATTTGATAGGGAATTCTATTCGATTTACTTATTAAGGAGGGATTAGTATAATAGTTCAAAAATAAGAATACATAGAATCTATGGTAGGAATAGATGTAAATTCTGCAATTTAAGAAGATAATAATAATTTAATTGAAGTATAGGTGAATGATACAGGAATAGGTATGACAGAAGATGAGTTAAGCATTTTAAGAAAAAAGGTATTGCTATAAATTAGAGTAGTTACACTTAACTGATGAAGATGAAAAGGTATCTAAACATTCAGTAGGAATTGGATTAGGATTGTCAGTTAGTAAATAGATAATAAAATTAATGGCTCCAAAGAATTAAAATTATCTTTCTGTTGAATCAATTAAAGATGAAGGAACTCGATTTAATTTTCTATTGAATTATTATGAAGAATCAAATCAAAATTCTAATTTCTTATAAAGATCTAATAATCATACTGTACCATTTTTAGATGCACAAAGTACTTAATAAGTTCGTGTTATGAATTATAATAAATGTAATAATATACAAATCACAGATAAAGTTGGTTAATCAGAAATGTAGATAGATATACTTTTAAATTCATGTAATTGTAAAATTGCTTTGATTGTTGATGATGAAGAATTTAATATAGAAGTTCTTTCTCATATGGTTAAATAATTAGGATTTGAAATAGATTCTGCATTTAATGGTAAATAAGCCTTAGAAAAAGTATAAACATAATTACTTAAAAGATGTAATTAATTCAATTGTGTTGGATATAATTGTATCTTAATGGATATTAATATGCCAATGATGAATGGATGGGAAACTGTGTAAAGAATTAGACAAATTGAAAATGAAATTCATCTAACCAGAACTATTCCTGTTATTGCAGTTACAGGTTTCTGTAGTATTAAAGATTAATAAAAGAGTATTAATGAAGGATTTAATAGTGTTTTAATTAAACCAGCTACAAAAGAAAAGTTAATAGAAACTTTTAATCGACTCTGTATCTGATTATTTATTATTATATTTACTCTTTAAGTTGTAAATTATAGAATGTTAAATTAATATTCACAACATTTATATTAATAAAATTAACAATGTCATCACTTGTTAAAAAGTCAAAGGATACATACGATTTATTGATCAAACTATTACTCATTGGAAATTCTGGAGTTGGCAAAACATAAATATTGCTGAGATATACAGAAAATCAATTTAAAACTTCATGTCTAAGTACAATAGGTATTTTTCAACACTTTCCAATCTATAAGGAATCGATTTTAAAATCAAAAAAATATAAGTCGATGATAAAGTAATCAAAATGTAAATTTGGGATACTGCTGGATAAGAACGATATTAAACCATTACTTAAACATATTACAAAGGAGCTATGGGAATTATACTTGTCTTTGCTGTCAATGATTAAGAAACTTTTAATGATATCGATAAATGGATGAATCAAATCAAATAGCATGCAAGTGACAATATCATTAAAGTATTAATAGGTTAATTTATAATATTATTATTATCATTATTTTAGGAAACAAAACAGATCTTCCAGATAGATGCATTACTTATGATTAAGCTCTCAAATTAGCATAAAAATATAATATACCTTACTTTGAAACTAGTGCAAAGGATGGAATTAATATTAATGATACTTTTTTATAAATTGCCAAACTTGTCAAAGAATAAACAGAAAAACTTCCATAACAATAAAATCGTTCATTCAATAAATTAAGTCCAACTTAAAATCATGATTAATAAAAATAGGATTAGCCTATGTGTTGTTGATCCATCTCTATTGATTTGTGATACACTAATTTCAATATTCATTTAATATTTCTGTTTTCATCATTTTACTTTTATAACATTAGTCTTTCTCGTTTTTCTCTTGATTAATTTAGACAATTGAAAATTTAGGATGTAATTTTATTACTTAAAATTTCGTTATTTTATTTCTTGTTATATTTAATTAACATATTGTATTCATATCCACAAAATAACCAATCACATTAAAAACCATGAAATAAGATTCATGAAAATAAAGAAATTGTAAAACTTAAATAATTTTTAAATATTCTCTGAAATCAAAATTTCATTTCAAATCTATCGTTATATCTAGCGAATAAAAAATCATAAGTAATAAAAAAATTCTAAATAATATCGGGAATGTTCATAAAGGTTGCAAATGCAGTAATTATTTTGTCATAAATTAAGTTAGTTCATTATATTATGAAACATCAGCTTACGAATACCTAAAAAAATTGATATTATGTTATTTGTTTTTCAAAATTTTTCCTAAAAGTGATATGAACATAAAAATTGAAAAACAAGATATTTTGGTTGTTCATTTATCTAAAGATGCGATTAAAATCATATAATTAATAGAAAATAATAAAAAAATTTTTAGTGATCTATTTTAAGAAAATTGAGACTACACTTAGATAGAATTTAGTAATCCTAGCTAATCAAACTAGTTAAGATAAGTTAGTTACTTAGAATTTAAACTCAAAGAAATCTAATAGCAATTGTAAATGTATTTATGGGTATGATTATTTGTATTTTTAATATAAATGGTTTCTAAAAATAATTTAATATTCCTCAATTTTAAAAATTTCATTAATAAATACAAATTAAATTTTCAATATATTTGTATTTAGAGTATTTCTAATATAAGGCCTCAATATTTAATCTTGTGATATTTAAATTTGCCCATTAATTTCGATAATTCATTCGATGAATATAAAATTTAGATTGATATTAATTTGAATGGTATCTTAAATAGAAATCAAAATCACTTCAATAAAAATCGTTTTATAATGATTTATTAAATTTTAAAGAATATCCTATTTGCTTAGAAAATTAAAAATGGACAAATAGCCTAATGAAATTAAATGACACAATATGTAGTGAGTTCATGAGGATTTGTAAAATTTCTTAGATTAATACTTCTCCATTTGATTTGATCTGTCTTTGTAAGTATTACTCTTGACATTTATTGTGTAATCTATTAAATTTTTTATAATTGGAAATTAAAATAAGTACATAAACAAAATAATCAATTATTGGGTGCTTCCATTAAATTAATAATAATTTAAGGACAGGTTGGGCATAACATAAGTTTTTAGTTCTTATCAAAAAAGTTAATTATACATTTCTTATGAAAAAGATGGTTATTTTAACATACTTTAGATTTATAAATAGTATTTTTTTCTATTTTTAGATTAGTTTAACATATTGCGCATATTTCATCATTAGTTGTTGTTTAAACTTTTGAATATTGATTTTCAAAATTTTTTTATTTATCACAAGTAAATTTCAACCAGATAGCTCCTAACACGATGAATAAAAAACCAATAATAGAGACTGCTATTAACCAATTTAAATAATCTAGTTTATCTCTTTAAGTCTATCTCTTTTAAAACAAAATTGATAGTTATTCATTTGGAAATTAACATATAACTGCTATTATTAATTTAGCAGGTAAATTATTCATTATTAAAAAACCATTATTAATATCTGAATTATCATCATCAGTATCTTCTTCTAGAAAATCATCATCATCAAGATCTTAAAAACCCTTTGAACTAATTATTTAAGAAAGAGGGTTTGACTTATTAAATTTACCTAAGAAATCATAATATTTCAAGGTTGGTATATGAATAAATGAAGAGACAATCTCTAATATAGTAAGATTTTATTAGCTATTAGTCTAAAATATTACTTGGAAGGATTACATAAAATATTAAATCTAACTCCTTTGACTTTTCTTGTTAGTTATAGTAAAAAAAAGTTACATAATTTGATAGAGTATGATTTGACCAACTCTAAATTTTTAACTCTGTTGCTTTAATTGAACAATCTTTTCCGATATAATCAGATTTACAAAAACATCGCCCTTAAAAACATTTTCCATTTTTGCTGCAATTATTGAAACATTTTGATTCATTTGTACCTTATAAGGTAAAATTAAAAGTAATTGAAGTGTCACTAAGAATGGTAATAAATTTAGAATGAGGAAAGTTTGGAATAATTAAATAGTGATTTAATCTTTTGAGTGCGTAGCTAGATCATTTATATAATAAATACCTATCGTAATCCATATCTTTAAATTGAATGGTTTTGTTGATTAAAGAAGTTGGAATGTGTTCATTATATAAAAGAGCTACACTTGATTTTACATTAGATGTTAACTAAATTTCAACAATGAGAAAATAAAAGTTTTCTCCTTATATTTAAAGCGTTGTATTAAATTTGTAAGTCGAATTAAATTATGAAATGGTTTGATTAATTTCTGTAATCTTTGGCATTAATTATGTAACAGATAAATTGTATGTCATAGTTTCTAAAAATAGGAGATTGAAGAGGATAATGTAGTATTGTATACTCATGGTAATTATGAAATATTAATTAATAACATGTTAATTTAACATATATTATTTAAGTGCTGTCAATGAGGCTGTAAATATATGGAAGCAAATTAAATATATAGAATAATTATACAAGGTTAATGAATGTAATTTAATATACTTTATAATTATTTATGGCAACTCGTTCTTTAGTACCTACTTTTATTATGAAAACATTTGAAATGCTGGATGTATAAATTAATTGGAGATTAGGATTAATCAATATCACATATTGTATCATGGACTGAACATGGATTAAGTTTTGTAGTAAAGAGTCAAAAACAATTATAACAATAAGTTCTCCCTCATTATTTTAAACATAGAAACTATTCTAGTTTTTTAAGGTAATATAAATCTTATTGTAGATAACTCAATTTATACAATTTTAAGAAAAGCAAACATGAAGATGGATAAGAATTTAAACATAAATGTTTCAGAAAAGGAGTAAAGTATGTAAATTATAATAAATCATATAATAGACAAATGTTACAATTTATTAAAAGGAGAAATAATGATGATAGTAATTAAGAAACTGTTAATCCAAATCAACCATGTACTCCTAAATCTTTTAATATAGCTGCAAAATTAAAGGAAGAGTAAAATATTCTAAGAACATGTGCATCTGATATAAAGGATACTAATAGTAGATTAGATGAAGATATGTAAATTTTAAAATAAAAAAGCAGTGTTCTTCTTGAAGAAATGTGGAATCTAAAAAAAGTAAATTTATTATCTTAATTTAAGCTTTTACATAGTTAATTTGATTAGGTCAATCATAAATTGGAAAGAATCGATATAATCATAGGCGCAATGTCTTAACATAAAAAATTTAAAAGTATTATTATTAAATATATGATAGATATTTCTCAATATTTTACTACTAAATTTTTATAAAATGAATTATAAACTTTAGAAACCAATTTAAATTAACCATTATTCGAATCTCCTAAATAAGATATTGATGATTAAGAATAGATTAAAGCCTTATTTGAGGAATTACAAAATCTAAGTAAACCTATTCATTTTGATTGAATATTTATTATTATTTATCAAAACAATAACTAATTAGTAGTATAATTAAAAATAAACAATCTATTTGAATAGAATATATACTTAAATACATTTCACAATCATCATTCAATCAATCACATCCGCACATAATCCTTATTTTATAACAACTTTATAACAAGATTCTGTAAAACGAAGCTTAAGAATTGTAACATAAATAAAAATAATCAATTGTTTTAGACTTCTTGCATGAAGGTCCACAAATAGTTTATATACAAAATATAACAAAAGCTATATTATTATTAATATTTTTATTAAAATTATATTAAAGAAGTATAATATTATTTAAAAAGTGAAAATGAAATAATTAGACATGAATGATAAATATATGCCTTCTCAAATACAAAAACATTTACGGAATATTTTCAAAAGAGATCATTCAATTGCCATTTTTTTTTGTTTTTAATTAACTATAAACGTCCTCATGATTGTCAAATATGAGTCATAACTAATATTTACTATTACTATTTGTATTCTAAATACTATTTTTGCTCTTACCACTTAAATGATTGAGCTTACTAATAGAAATGTCCTATTTAAGAAAATATGTATATTTATCAGTAGGTTATCAACATTATTAATGATAGCATTACTAGATATTTAATTGAAGAGTGCATTAATTATGTTATTGCATTCCTTTGAGTTTTTGGATGTTGACAAAAAATATTTTAGATACTTTGAAATAATCACAACAAGAGCAATTACTCTATTCATCATTATTATTAATTTTGACTTAATATCAATTATCTCAGTATCCTTCTAATTTTTATTGGAACTCAATAAATTATCTCATACTAAAGATTAATAGATAATTGCTTAAAATTCACATAATCCATTAGCTCAAAGTTTAATTTTATAATAAGAATAGGATAATTTATGGAAAAATCGAATTTAAATGATTCCTGTATCATTTGTAATGATTAATTCAAAAACCCAAAAAATCAATTTCAAAAACAAAACCGCTCATTAATTCTTTTCTTTATTTTGTGAGAATGATCAAGAATTCGAAGATCTCCTTCTCCATAAATTATAATTTAACTTAGTACAAGATAATATAGATTAAATATGTTAATCTTTTTCTTTTATTAAATTTCGTCAACGACTTAGAAGCAAATAAAATCGTTTTTGTCAATAAGACAATTAAAATTGTGGTACACCAGGACCATTATCAGGATCTTCAGGAATATAATGTATTTCTTCAAAACAGGGAGACTCATTAGAACATAATACACTTAAGTTTACATTAGCTGAGATCATCACAAATATATCTGATGGTTTATTTTAAGAATATATAATAAATAATTCATTAGAATTACTGTGTCATTAAAATTATTAAGGACTTGTAGAAAATGCTAATACCAATCATACTCTATAAAAGAAATTTTAATTATCTGGTTCTATATTGACTAATCAATAAAATGAAGAAATAATTCTTCTTCTCAATGATATATCAAAATAGAATGAACTATAATAATTAATTTCTTAGGATGAATTTAAATCAAAAGTAACTATATTTTTCATTCTTAGATTTTAGAATCATTTTCACATGAATTGAGAACTCCATTAAATGGAGCCATTAATTTTTTAACAGCCTTCATGTAGGATTCTGATAATTCTGAAAAATAAAAAAATAATTATATAGTTCCAGCAATAAGTTCTCTTAAGATATAATCATATTTGATTAGTGATATAATTGATTTTTCATCTTCAAGTACAAACAATTTAGAACTATTAATAAGGGAATTTTCAATGAGAGAATTAATTAATGAAATTACTTCACTGTTTTCAATGTAATTTTCAGAGAAACAACTTGAATTTAGTGTAGATTTAATGGATTGTTGTACAAACACTGTTACAAGTGATTATAGTAAATTAATGTAAATATTGGTGAATTTACTTCAAAATTCAATTAAATTCTCAACTGAAGGACTTATTGTATTGAGAATTCAATCTCATACTAAAGAAATTTTAAAATTTACTGTCACTGATATGGGACAAGGGGTATCATCTTAAAATATTTATTAAATTTAATCCTATTTAAATAATTTAAAGAATCAAAAAGAAATTCAATTAAATAAATCATGGCAAGGATTTGGATTATTGATTTCTGCTATGTTAGTATCAAAATTAGGACCATCTGAAAAAAGTACCATTAAATTTGAATCCGATGGAATAAATTTGGGTTCAAAGGTATCTTTTTTTATAAAGAATCAATAAGTGAAATATAATAGTACAAAATAACCTACAATTAGATAAAATACACAAAGATTTCAAAGTTCAGTTTATATAAATTCCTCATTTAATAATTTAAATGGTACAATTATTTAGACTTCAGATTAAGTATTGAAAAATATTCACAAATAACAAAAAACTAAAATTTGTTCTTAAAGATCAAATGATAACTCTTTGTTTAGTGAAAGTGTTGTATATGACTCATTAGATTAAAAATATGGTTTATTACTTCCAGTTTAACCATCTTTAATTACAGATATTTTAAGTTCCCCACAAAAAGTTGTTGATAAAAGACATTAAAGTAGGAATGACAATTCTTCATAAAGATCTAATAATTCTAAAATACTTAGTATCCAATATATCAAATAAGCTGAAGAATAAGAAGATGAAGAATTATTGTAAACTTATAAGAGAAGAAAAAAATGTCAATGTTAAAAAATCATGTCTGTTGATGATGAAATATTCAATCAGAAATCTATTTAGATGTTATTATGTAAATTGGGATTTGAAGTTATTTTAGTAATAATATTATTTTATTTCTAGACATTTAATGGACAATAAGCTTGCGCAGATATTTTGAAAATTCAAAAATGCAGTAAGAAGTGCCAATTATTAACACTGATTCTAATGGATTATTAGATGCCTATCCTAAATGGTTGCCAAACAACTGAAAAATTGATTTAGATGATGAATGATAATATCATCCCTAAAATTCATATTATTGGTCTCACTGCTTTTACAAACTCTAATGATATTGAAAACTGTTTAAAAGCAGGAATGAGCGATGTATTACACAAACCACTTAATCTAAAAGAATTTAAAGAAATTCTTACTTTAATTTGATAAACCTAAACCATTTTTATATTAATACTTTATGTTTTGAAAAATTAATGATTTTACTGTTAAATTTATTTATTATATACTTGCGAAAATATCATTAAGTTGTCCTTACTTTAATTTAATATATATTATTTTTAATAATAATAAAATTCATAGGCTATTAGAATCACTAATCATGAACAAGAAATCATCATCTAAAGATACATTATTTTAGACTAACCTTTTACTATTAGCAATACAAATAGTTTTAAATTTAAGTCTTATTAATGAATTGACGTAAACAATCCCTAGCTTAATTGTTATCATTTCCAAAATAATTATTGACATTCTCACATTCTGTTTGTTGTATCTTTAAAGAAATAAAATTACCCTCAACATAATGTAGAATACAATATTCGTCAATAGGATACTAGAAATTATTGTAATCTCAGTATTATAATTGCCTAATTGCATATATCTATCAATTTATATGTGCTATTCATTGGAGATAAATACTAATTTAAAGTTGGCTAAAGTTGCCTTATTATCTAATATTCTTGGAAAATTAAGTTTAATATTATCAGTGTGTTTAATTTAGATAAATGCAATAAGTTTCATATGCTCTTTAACATTAATTTTACTTGATATTTTAAGCTTTGTTAAATATTATTAGTAATTGTAAAATGGTAATGATTAATCCCAAACTTAATTATGTGATGTGAAATCTCTTTCGGAATAATCAAAAATCAATGAAAATATATGGAGATAGAGAATATAAGATATGAATGTATAAGTACTTATATTGGGTTATTCAAATTTATGCGTAAAATATATAAATTAATGTTTCATGGAATTGTTTACATGCGCTATGGAAGAGGAATTGCAAAAAATTATTTTATAAGAGTTGAATTTTTAGATACCTTAACAATATACAGAAGCTTTTAAAAGTGCCTCACTTTAAATGAAGAGATTAAGAGATAAGTAAAGAGACCCATCTTGCAGAGAATTTAAAAACTTAGAGTCTACGAAACAAGTAATTACAGCTTAAACCAAAACTTTAGAATAAATTCTGGATGAATATAAAAAAGGGAGCTTTGATTAATTGATATTGGCTTCAAATAATAAAGCTTTAGATATATCTTGCACTGTGAAATTGTAGAATAATAATAATATTTCATTGAGCGGATAAATTATTAGTGATAATAAAGAGATCACTATCTTTTTAAATGATATTTCAAAATAGAATGAATTATCATAATAAAAGATTAAGGATGACTTTAAATCAAAAATCATTGAATCTTTTTCACATGAAATGAAAACTCCATTAAATAGTGCTAAAAATTTGATAGAATCAGCAATTTCTGAATAAAAAATTGATAATTATACTAAAACTCAATATTTACTCCCGGCATTTAATTCATTAAAACTATAATCATGCATTATTAATGACATAATTGATTTTTCAAACTATTATGCAAATTCTTTGTATCTCCAAACCAAAGATTTTACATTCAAAGAATTAATAAATGAAATAAGTGGACTTTTTTAATAATAATTTGAGATGAAAAATATGGGTTTAAGAATTGTGATGGTAAAAAATAATCTCTAAATTTTTAATAGCGATTATAATCGTTTAGTATAAATAATAGTAAATTTGTTGGCAAATTCTTTAAAATTTTCTTATAGTGGTAATGTAGTAGTTAGATTTAAATCATTAGAATAAAATATTTTGAAAATCTCCATCAAGGATTAAGGTATTGGTATTGAATAAGGAAAATTAGAGACAATTTAGAAAACATTATGCTAATTTTAAGAAACATCAGATTTTATTTTTAGTAAAAATTGGCATGGATTTGGACTATTAATTTCATCAATTTTATTAACTAAATTATCATCTAATTTAAATAGATAGTTATTATAAATAAAAAGCCAAGGAAAGAGTTTAGGAACAAAAGTTACAATATTTGTAGAAGACTAAAATAAAAGTTAATAGGTTATGCTTTCTAGAAAATCTGTTAAATTTGGTACAAAAATGTATTCCCAAAATAAAATATAAATAGGAACTGTTATTGTAACCTAAGTAAAGGCAATAGCTAATTTTTAAAATAATGATATAATAACTCCATAATTTAAAACAATAGAATTATGCACTGATATGATATCTATAGATAGATCTAGTGATTTTTTTACAATAACTAATAAAGTTTAAGAATTAAGGTCTTCAAATCCAAAATTAATAAGCAATTTAAATGATTCTTAGAGTTCAGATTCGAATTTTGATATAGATTTTAAAAATTTAAGATAATTAGGTGATTCTCCATCAATTCAACCGTAATTTAGAGATTTCAAATCAAGCAGAAGTTCTCGTTCATAGATTCTTAGTATAAAATAGTTAAAATTATTGGAAGACTAAGAGAGTTAATAGAATCTGTTGCATTTTGTATAGAAAAAAAGATGTAATTGTAGAAGAATACTTTCAGTTGATGATGAAATATTTAATTAACATTCCTTATGCATGTTATTACAAACATTAAATTTTGAAGTGTTAGTGGTTAGTATTAAATATTTTATTCTTAGGCTTTCAATGGATAATAAGCTATAGAATTATTGAACCAAATAAAAAAATGTTGTGATCATTGTTAATTGCTTGATGTAATCTTAATGGATTATTAAATGCCAATTCTAAATGGGATTGAAACCACAAAGGTTATTTTAGAGATGATAAAAGATTAAAAGATTCCATCTATAAATATAATAGGTTTAACAGCCTTTACAAGTGAATCAGATATAGTAAATTGTTTAGATGCAGGGATGACTTATGTATTATCTAAGCCTTTAAACTTAAAAGACTTTAAGGATTTATTGTCAAATTTATGAAATTGTGTTTTATATATTAATGGTTTTCACTTCAAATTTATTGTACATCCTGTGGCTGTAAGTTTTTCTTTTAATTCATTGGCTTTCTCTTTAGGTAATTATTTTCCTAAATTGGCTGGTAATTTCTCAACTAAATCCTTAGCCTCTTTTAATCCTAAATTGAGAAGTTATCTATATTGATTTTATTTTAATACCTAACTTCTTTAATAATTTTTATTTTTTAGGCTGCATCAATGGCACTCAATTCAACATCATAATTTTTTTTCTTTATTTATTATTTTATTTAATTACTTCTGCTTCCACTTTTGGTGCAGCTTCAGTTTTCTTTTCTTCTTATTTTGGAGCTTCTTTTGTAGTACTTGCTTATCCTTAATTTTAACTACCCATTGATCCAACACCACCAAAAATCGCTTTAAAATTAGGCTAAAGTAATTTATTATTAATATTACTATATTCTCTCCAAAGAGGTCTTTCATGTAAGCTTCAATTTATTCTTTTTCTTTTGGAGGCCAAGTTGGTACTTCATTTTATTTTATCACAGGCCAATTTGAATCTATTTCAAAGATTCCAATTCCTTAAGCTTTATAGTGATTTTCATTCAATAAGCTCATTAAACATTGCAATTCAAAGAGATCTAATTCACAACAAGCATCAGCTATTGCCCTAACTCTTTATTTTTGATCCTATGATAATGTTTATTCTAAAAATTCTTGTTGTCTTAATATTTATTAATTAATTACGATTAAGTTTTCTATTTTGCTATGGCTGACCATTCAGCTTATTTTTTTGTTATTTCTTCTAAAGCTGAACAAAATCTAAATTGTCTGAATAATCTTATACTTTTTGTTAACATAATTTAATTTTTATTAACAAAAGTTATAATCTTCTTATTTGAATTTATTATTTTCTTTAATTCCTCTCATTTTATTATCAATCATAAAATGTGTAAATACTTTCATTCATAATATAATATTGATATAAATCTTATATAAAAATATCTTTTTTGGTTAGATTAAGTTAGCAAATTATTGATGTTCTTAACTAAATTTAAAAGAATTTTATGATTTTGATATATTCATAAAGATAAAAAGTATTAAATATTATTTAATAAATCTATAAGAATATAAAGATTAAATGATACATTGAAAGTATTGTAGATAATTTAACAAATTAAAAAAATGTAAAAGATTTTTGAGATATGAAGAATAAATTGTATATTTTTAGATAATTTAATAGATATGAATAAGAAATTATATATATATAAATTAAATTAAATAACTGATGATGTAGAAGAAACAGAAATAGTCAAACAGATAAATAAAAATTCAAGAATTTGTATTGATGTATAAAAATTTAGACACCATCATAATTGATTTAGAAACAATTATCAGGTTAAATTTTTGAAGATGCAAATCCAAAAATCAAAATAATAGAATTTTAGAATTTGGCTGATTTTTCATCTTAACCTGTTAGCAGTGTACCAATTGATGAACCATTGTTTGATCCAATTCCTCCAATAATTCAATTCACAGATTATGAGGTATATATTATTAAACTTAAAGTTCTTAAGCCGCTATAAATAAAAGAAAAGATATTTAAGTTACGAAATAAGGATAGAGTGGCAAGAAGAGTAAAGATATACAAGCCAGATTCAAGATTATTTTAAGTTGTTCCTTAAGGTACAAATGGAAAAGATGCTGGTACAGGAACAAAGGTAATAATTTTATAAATATTATAGGTGGCCCCAGGAATGGAGACTAATTTTATAATTCGTTTTTCTCCAGAATCAAAATCAGATTATAATTATGATGTAATTGTTGAAACAGAAAGAGAAAAGTTTATTGTACCAATAGTTGCAGTTGGAAAACGAGCAATGATAGGTAAAATATAAATTGAAGTTTTAATATAGATTTTCCTGATTCTCTTGACTTTGGAAATTGTCCTGTCAAATACACAACAGAGAAACCTGTGATTATTCGTAATTTAGGAGAAAAGACAACGAAATGGTTTTTAAAATTACCACTTGGTTTTGATGCAGATAAGAAGGAAGGAGTACTAGAGTATGGTAAGAATGAATAAATAGTTATCAAGTAAGATAGTAATTTTATTATATTTCAGGTTTTTTCCAACAGAAGCTCGATCTTATAAGAATAAAGCAATCTTATAATATGATAATATGGATGCTTATGTTCCAATCATAGGTGTTGCTCATAATGGAAATGTCTATTTATCTAAAAGCTAAATTAATATGACTGAAGCATTTATTGGATTATAATTACAATAGACTTTATAAATTATCAATAAATCAAATGTGAAAGTTGATTTTGAATGGAGAGCCTTTGCAACTGAGAAAGAAGAATAAGAAAAAAAAAATAGATTAAGAAATTAATTAGAAGAAGAAGAAGCAGAAGAAAGAATGCTTATTAAAGAATTAGTTTCAAATGAAGGTGTTCATGAAGAATTAGAATTAGATGAAGATGAAGATAGTGAAGAAGAAGAAAGAGATGAAAAGGCAATCATTTAAAAAAGATAAAAGAAGGCTGAATTACAATTAGCACGAAAATATCGAAATATTCGTAAAGCCATTGAAGATGATTTGCTATTATTTATAGATGATATCTTTACAATTGAACCCACTTAGGGACAGATTTGGCCAAATTCTGAGATGACTGTGACAATTACATTTGTACCAAGAAGTGCATTTTTATATCAAACAATTGCTTATTGCAATATATCATGTTCAGAAGAAAGATTGCCTCTTAATTTATATGGATAAGGAATGGGACCTAGAGCATTTTTAAGTGTTTATGAAGTAAATTTAGGAGATGTGTTTGTAAATGAGATACATAAAACAGAAGTAGTAATAGAAAATAGAGGTGAGATTGAATGTAAATTTGAATTGATGCCAAATGAACGTGCATTTGGAAAGATGTTTAAATTTGATGTTGAAAGAGGAGTATTAGCTGTAGGTTAAAGAATGCCATTTACTATAACTTTTAAATCTAGTATTCCAGGAGAATTTAAGGAAACATTTAGATGGAAATTAGAAGGATCAACAGATTAATTAACAATTTTATTTATTGGACATGTTATTGCACCTACTTTTAATTTCTAAGATGAAAAGATTCAATTTGGTACTGTTAGTTATTCATTTGAATAAACAAAAACAATAAGAATGACAAATACATCTACAGTTGCATTTACATATGAATTAAAAATACCAGGAGATGGTAAATTAGCAGAAAGGGAATTTGAAATTGAACCAAGAAGAAATACTATTTAACCTAAGAATTTTGATATAATAAAAGTAACATTTATACCAAAATAAATAAAAACATATGAATAAGTTATGGTTGTTGATATTGAAGGTGTTGGATAAGATATGTTATCTATACCAATAACTGCAGATTGTTAAGCACCAAGAGTAGAATTAAGACCTAGTGATAGATTGCATTTTAATAAAGTAGATGATTAAAAAGTATTCTTAAGAAATCCTTGTAGATCTAGAGTTGATCTCATTAATACTTCTGAATTACCAGCTAAATTTGTTGTCTTACCTTAAAATGATGAATATAAAGTCTTAGCAGATTATACAGTTGAACCATCTAGTGGTAAAATTAATGGAAATTCTACAATGTCTTTGGAAGTTACATTAACGACAAAAAAACTATAGGATATAACATTGCCATTATAAATTAATATTGTTGGCACTAATAATGGATAACCTCATGTTATTACAATAATAGCCTTTTCAGAAGGACCTAAAGTAAAAACATCAAAGACTGAATTAGATTTTGGAAATGTTGAAGTGTTAAAAGATTATTCATTAAAATTAACATTAACAAATGATAGTGATATTGAAGCTGATTTTCATGCTTTTACTAAAAATAAAATATCCATATTCAAACCAATACAAAAACATGGAATAATTAAACCAAAAGAAAGTTGTGAAATTGAAGTATTATGTAGTGCTGATGATGCTGTCAAAGTTTCTGATGTTTTACATTTTGTAATTAAAGAAGGTGATGATGTTGAGGTATAATTGAGAGCTAAAGGAATTGGATCTACTATATTTTGTAAAGATGATTTATCTTCTGTTAATATGGGTGTAAATTATACTTATAGAAAGGTGACTAAAGAAATATTTGTGGAAAATAAGGGGAGGAAATAGTAAAAATTATAATGGACATAAAAGAAACCTTAATAATAAAAAAAGGAAGAATAAGATTAAAAAAATAATAAAGCACCACCTCCACCTGAAGAAGAATCTGTATTTTCCATAGCACCAGATACAATTGTATTACCACCAAAACATGGTATAATGTTTTAATTTAGAGGGTATTCATAAAAGAAGGGTAAAATTTAAGAAATATTTATGTTAAACTCAACTATTGGAACAGAAAGAAAAGCTAATTTATTGTTTGCTACTACAATTGAAGGTGATTTCATATAACCTACATTACAATTTTCAGAAAGAAAATTATTTTTTAAATATTCATGGGAAAAAAATGTACCATTTATGCCAATATCAAAAAATTTAGAAATTACATGTGCTTGTCCATTACCAGTTAATTTTGATTTAAAATGTTAATAACCTTTTACAGTAAATTAAGATAAATTATAATTGAATCCTGGTAAGAGTGCAGTTGTTAGAATAGATTTTGATCCTGGCTTTAAATCTGATCGTAAATCAGGAGATTTAGAAGGTAAATTATAATTATCACATTATGAACATCCTCATAAAGATCTAATAGATTTAATAGGGTAAGTGTATTTTCCAAATTTAATTTTGGAAACAAATTTAATTAATTTTGGATCTATACTATATGATACAACAAAGAAAATGGTGATGACAATGAAAAATTAAAGTGAAATGGCATTAAATTATGAATGGACTTTTGTAAGTGAAGAATTATCATAACCAGGATAATAAGGAAACATTCCAATAAATGAAATATTTGATATCTTACCTTTAAGTGGATATATGGAACCTGGTTCTGAAGAGTAAGTTGAATTTGTTTATAATGCAATTGGTGGTTAAAGATTTAAAACAACAGCAGTATGTCATGTAGATGGTGGACCAGAATATGAAGTGACTTTAGTTGGAGATAGTAGTTTATTAGCATCAAAGATTAGTACAACATTAATAGAATTGGGAGATGTGAGATTTTGTGAATGGGTATCAAGAGAATTTACAATAGAAAATACTGGTAGGGTTACATTTGAATTTAAAATTGATTTAAAATATGTTAAGAAAAAAGGTTTTGTTGATGTTTAACCATAAATTGGTAAAATAACAGGAGGCGAAAAATTAAGAATAACAGTTAGAGTATCACCAGTTATACCTGCTGAATTTAAAGAGATTATTTTAGTTTAGATAGGATATTATGAACCAGAACCTATAACTATTATTGGAAAAGGTGTTTATCCATCTATGGTAGTATAATTACCAAGAACTGAAAATCAATTATTTTAATAAAAATTTGATGTTGAAATTGCTAAGAAAAAAACAGATTTAGAAAATTAAATTAAAAGAGCTTAATTATTAGCTAAGACTTCAAATTAGAAAGTTTAAGTTAAGACTTTAGAATAAGTATAGATGGAGGTTGAAAGAGATATTGATAGATTTGTATTTTGTGAATAAATAAAAAAGACAGTATTAGATAAATAAGATGAGAGAACTCATTCAAGAGATTAAAAAGAAAAGTTTTATGATGGTGTTATATTGGCTACTTATATATGTGATTTTGGAAATGTTGTATTAAATTCTATCAGATAAAAGACTATAACAATTAATAATCCAGGTACTTTACCTGTTGAATTTGTTTTAGATGGTAAATACTTTAAACCATATGGTTATAATATAGTACCAGAAAGAGTTTTAAATTTGCCTACTGGAGCAAGCATTACTCTAAATATTTAGTATTAAACTAAGAAGAATATGGGTTTTGGACCAACTAAAACTGTTGTACCTATTGAGTTGAAGAAAGGTCCAAAATTTCATTTAGAATTAATTGCTAATATCACGATTCCTCAGATTGTAATTGAAAATTCAGCAGATGGATAAATAGATTTTGGAAAAGTACTGATTGGATAGAAAAAGATTATTTTCTTAAGATTTGTTAATGATAAAGAAATTGATTGTGAATGGTCATAATCAACCAGATAAGAATTAACAGCTGATAAAAAGGAAGAACCTAGATTTGTTTTAATTCCTAATAGTGGTATAATTAAACCAGGAGATAAATAATTGATTGAAGCTCATTTTACTCCATTAGTTGAGAGAAATTATTCATAAAAATTCACTTTAAATATTAAAGAGAATGCAACACCGTACATTTTAAATCTTAAAGGAACTGGTGCAAGTATCACTTTATAATTTAATCCTTCATTAATTAATATTGGACCAATCTTACCATATGATAAATTTGCTCATTCTATTTTGGAAATCAAGAATCCTACTGAATTTAATACTGAATTGTTTTCATTAGATTTTGATACCTAATATATATAGGATGATGAAATTATCAACAGTTATCCTTAATTGGAACATTCAGATTTTATATTGATGCCTGTAAGACAACCTGGATAAGCTATTTGGTTAGATTTTTAAAAAGCATTTACCAGATCTAAAAGGAAGGAATAAATTTTGAATAAATTATAAGATCCAAATGTTGAAAATAAAGAATAATTATAAAAAGAATTAGATGATATTGTCATTCAAGAAACCATGATTAAAGTTGAATATCCAAAAAAAGTAAGTGAAGATGTTTTAAAAAATGTTGTTATTATGGGTCCTCCAAAATGTGGAAAGACTCATTTAGCAAATTATTTGGAATAGACACATAGAAGAAAGGTTATTAATATGAATGAATTAGTTTAATGGAATTAGGAGAATTAAACTTAAGCTTATTAATAATTAGAATAATATTAATAATAGAGATAAAATGAAATTTAATTTGTTTAATAAGAAAGAGAGAAATTATTAAAAAAAGCAGGAAAGAAATCTAAGGATTTAGAAGATAAATGGGGACCAATACCATTACATTTATATGAGTATTTGAATGAAGAGATTATTGTAAATTTATTGAAAGCAAGATTAGCTCATGAAGATTGTGGTGCTGGTGCAATATTTGATAATTTATAATCAAAATATTGGCCTAATGAATTATATTTAATGAAATGTATAATGGAAATAGATTCTCATTTATAAGTTGTAGTATTGAAAGAATAATATGATTAATATGGTTTTGAAATTTAGAAAGTGATAGAATGGCCAGGAATGGAGAAATTGGCAGAAGAAGATAAACCAAAGAAAGATGAAATAATTGAACCAATTCCATCATCACATGATAAAAATAGTAAAACGAAGAGAGGAAAAGAATTCTCATAAAGTGTGAACAACAAGAAAAACTAAAAGCCATAAGTTTCTTAATTACCATTATAATAATAATAATAATCAAGATAGAAATCAAGACCAAAATCATAACCTAAATCTTCTGGAAATCTTGAAGAATAGAATTATTTTGATGTATTTTATCCTGCTACATTTGAAGATGAATTATAGAAATAGAATTTTAATGAATTAATAACTAAAATAAAAGCATTAATGGAAAATACATATCATGAGAAAATAGAAGTAGCAACTAAAATTCATGATCCTGTATTTGATGAAGGAAAGAAAGAAGAAAAACCATAGAAACCTGCAAAGAAAGGTGATAAACCACCAGAACCAGAAGAACCAAAAGTTGAAATCATAGATTATTCTCATCTATAGAAAGGAGAAAGATTATTTAATGAAATTCCTTTTCATTACAATTTACCTTAATTATGTCAAACAGGATTATAAATAATACCAGGTCCGATATATCCAAATCCTAATTCTTTACCTATTCCTGATCCCATATATCATTAGATTGTAATGAAAAAGAAAGATAATAATTTGAATTAATCAATTCAGAGTAGTAGAAAGAAGACTGATACAAAAGATTCTTCTATTCATTAATCAAATGCTAATTTATTGCAAACTCTTAAATACTTTAATATTCTGACTCCAAAAGATATGTATGTAAAAGATTATAAATTATAATCTTAATAAAAGACTGAACATATTGAAGAAGATAAATTGAATACTAATGAAGAGTAGAATGTTCATTTAGAAGATATTAATTCACCTAGTAGAGAATAAATGTAACATCCTGATTAATTGAATAAACCAGTCACACCATCTGTTAAGGCAAGAGCTAATGTTACTTCAAGATCAATTGCTAATGTTAATAAAAGAACACAATAATAAAAGAATTTAGAGTCTTCATCAGCAAATGATTAGAAGTATAATTTTAAATTTGAAGATTTGATATCAAAATAATATAGATGGACTATACCAGCAGGAAGAACTTTGATTTTAGTTATTTAATTCTTTACTAAACATACAGGATCATTTGATGGTAGATTGAATTTTGATAATTTCTTTGCAATTAAGAAATCTGCTGCAGAAGTTAAAGGTATAGCTGATTATCCAACTTTAAGTTCATTACCAAAATAACTTTTTTGGACTGTTAAAAAAATGAGACCACTTAATGCACCAGATTCTTATCTAAGTAAAGTATATGTATAAAATGAATAATCTTTTGATTTTGGACCTTTATTAATTGGAAAATCTGATAAAATAGCAAATCGTGCAATTAATAGTTCAACATTTAGATTATCTAATTCTGGAAAATTTGATACAGAATTATAATTTTCGTTATTATCAAGTATCTAAGAAAATAAAGAATTTTAAAAAGGAGTTTTCTCATTAGATTTAGATAATTCAAAAATACAACTCAATAGTGTTCCATTAGAATTAAGAGTTTGGGTATTTCCAGATAAACCATAGAAATTTAGAGATGAATTAATTGTTTAAATTAAAGATAATCCTTTACCTCTTATTATACCAATGGTATGTACAGGATGTAGACCAACTATTGATTTAATAAATCCTGATGTGAAATTTGAAAGATTATTAATCAATTAATCAGATTCAAGAACAGTTACAATTAAAAATACTGGTATGATAAATGCAAAATGGAAATTAACTGGTATTGAATAATTAGAAGAGGAGTTTTAAGTGATTAATACTTCAGGAGAATTAGCACCAACAATCGAAGCTAAAATTGAAATTAGATTTAGAGCAATTAAAGAAAGGAAATTAAATCTTAAAATTACACTTGAAGTTGAAGATGTAGAAAATATGAATATCAAGTAAGATCCAAAGATAATTAATGTTGATGCAGAAGCATTTTAAATTTAAGTAGACATCAAATATCCAACACCAGAAAATATATTGGATTTTGGTAGTGTTAAAGTTGGTGATTTCAAAGATTAAATACTATAAGTTAAGAATATAGGATAATATTTGGTTAAAATCAAATGTTAAATTAAAAAAAAACTATTTCCTTAATTATTTTAATTAGAACCTATGGAAACTGAATTGAATCCAGGATAACAAAAAGATATTTTGATAAGATTTTGTGGAGTGAAAGAAATTAAAATGAAAACTACAAATGATACAACTGATTTATTTTTGGAAATTTTAGAAGGTAAAACATAAGAAATTTATAAACCTGTTCCTATTAATGTTTAATTCAATAGTGTGTATTCAAAGTACTCTATTAATCCTTTGAAAAATACTAATTTTGGTCCAATATAATTTAATGAATAAAAAGTTAGACATCTTGAAATTAAAAATGAAGGTTAATTTGAATTTAATTTCACTATATTTGATTATTCAAATGAAGAATTCAGAAAATAATTGTTAGAACAATAGTAAAAAGAGGCTCAAGAAAAGAAAGAATTAATGAAAGCAATGCCATCTTCATTGGGGCCTGTAGATCCAAAGAAAGGACCTAAAAAGGATGATAAAAAACAAGAAAAAAAATAAGGAAAACCAGGAAAGAATGATCCTCCACCTGGATAATTGAAAATAGGATAATGGACAATATTACCAAGTATTGGTACAATAGCTCCTGATTCTTCATGTACTGTAGAAATAACATTTGCAGGATAGGGATAAAAAAATTATGAATAAAAATTGGCTATAGATATTATCAATAGAAATCCAGAAGATTAACCAAATGGTATTGAATATGAAGTTTTAAGTGAAAGTTGTATTCCAGGTATAAGTACAATAACATATGAATCAATTTTCGAAGAGTAAGTAGTTTTGTAATCGTAAGTAAATAATTTATCAAATTTAATAAATTCGAATGTATTTTTTATAGAAGAGAAAGTATTTAGTTTTGGAACATTGGTTCCATCAAAAGTTCCAGATGGTGTAGTTGAAAGATTTAAACTTACAAATCCTAATAAGATTCCATGTAGTGTAAAATTGGATACTAGACGAAGATAGAATTATCCTAATGATAATTTTGCATTTGAGGTGTTACCAAAGTAAGTAAAAATAGCTCCTCATGAGAGTGTTTATATAAAGGTGGCTTTTAAACCTACTATAATGGCATAATATTTTGGTGTTTTTGAAGCAATAGTTGAGAATGGCGAGTAAAGTCCAAAGACTCATAAATTATTATTTGATTTGAGAGGAGAAGGAGCATTACCAACTCTAAAGTTGGAGAAACCTAAAGATTGGTTAGATGAAAGAACTCCTGTAGTTAAATTTGGTAGAGTTAGATTAGGAAAGACTTTAACAATGCCAATAGTATTAAAAAATGATGGTTAGATTCCTGCTACAGTAAAGTGGGATTTAGCAGCAGTGAATGAACATTTTAGATTTTTAGATTAAAATACATTTAGTTTAACTCCAAAGACTACTGCAACATTTAATATAGAGTTTACTCCAAAAGATGTAGGAATTAAATAACATTATTTTGTAATGTAAACTTTATTAAATCCATATGAAATTACGAAGGTAGCAGTAACCGGAGAATCATTTTAGGAAGATATTGTATTTGAAAATTTAGATGATGAAGTTTAATTTGGTGATTGTGTAATAAATGTTGAAAAAAAGATTCAGTTTTATTTAAAAAATAATGGAAGTAATACAATTCGATTTTAATGGAATACATAAGGTTGTGAAGATTTCTCTTTTATTCCTAGATAAGGGCATTTAAATAGTAAAGAATCTAAACCTATAACACTTACTTTTAAATCAAATAAGAGTATAACTCATAAATCATTTGCATTATAATGTGACACAAAATAGATCACAAAGAAGATAGTATCTGAATGGGATGATAGTATGGCAACTACTAAATATGTTACATTAACAGAGTATAATTGGTTCATGAAAAGAAGAGAAGAAGAAGAAGCTAGAAGATTGGCTGAAGAAGCTGCAAATAAAAAGGGAGCTAAGAAAGCTGAGAAGAAAGCAGTTAAATAAGAGATCGTATAAGCACCATAACCTGAACCTGGAGAAGAAGCGAATATTCCTATGTCTGATCCACTTCCTGAACCTGAATATTAAGTTATTGATAAAAGTGATAAGAGTATACCATTGAAAGTAAATGCTATTGCTGATTTTGCTAAATATGAAATTGATCAAAGAAGTATTTATTTCAGAGAAACACTTATGTATACAACTAGAGTTCATTAATTGAAATTGAAAAATACTTCTTTGATTGGAATTAATTACACTTGTAAAATAGTATCAGCTGAAACTGGTGCTATTGATCCAGGTTACTTTTATGTCTTTCCAAAATTAGGAAAAATTGCTAGTAATAGTGATGAATTATTTACAATCAAATTTAGTCCAACTGAAGTAGATGAAACTAATGAAAGATTATTAGTAATCTCTATTGATAATTTGGATCCAAATCAAGAAAAATTAATTGTCGAATTAGATGGATAAGCTGAAAGACCTATTTGTCATTTTGAATTACCACCTAGTAATTATAGAGATAAAAAACCAGATTTAGAAGCTAAATATAATGTTATTGAATTTGAAAGTTTGGGTTGTAAAGTTAAAAATACTAAGAGATTCTATGTAGTTAATCCTACATCTGTTGGATACGAATATGAGTGGAAACGAATAGATGATGAAAAAAATCTACATGCCAATTACTTTAAGTGTATAACTATTAAAGGAATAGTACTTTCTGGTAAAAAGTCTGAAATCATATTTGAATATTCTCCTGATACTTAAGGATAACATGAAAGTTATTGGGTTTTTGAAATACCATCGGAACACATTATTCAATATTTCCTTGTTACAGGCAGTGTTGTTGAACCTAATGTGATTTTTAATGTTGGCAAAGTCAATTTTGGACCTTTATTGGTTTAAGGTAAAAACAAAGAAACTGTGTTACTTAAAAATTTAGAAGATGTTCCTCTCACTTTTCAATTTGATAGAGAATCATTCCATAATCCTGAATTTGGAGATTCCTTAACTATCACACCTGTTTAAGGAACTATTAAACCACTTGGTGATTAACCTATTGAAATTTAATTTGCACCAAAAGTTGAAAGAGAATACAATTATAACTTGATGTGTAATGTAAAAAGAAGACAAAGACCAGTCACTTTAAATGTCAAAGGTATTGGTTATATTCTACATAATAATGTTTACTTAAATGGAATAGCAATAACCTAATAAAACACAGTAGTTGAATTAGGAGATTTATATATAAATGAAAAATCTACTAAATAAATTACTGTAGAAAATCTAGGAGATTTTAATTTTGATTTTTCAATAAGAAAATCTGCATAAATAACAAATATAGTAGTTATCACTCCAGAAAATGGTACTGTGAAAAAAAATGAAAAATTCAATATAGAAATTAAGTATTAACCTACTGCTCCTATGAAATTAAATTAATAAATATCACTTTGTATTTCAAGTGGTCCTACTTATAATTTCTAATTGATAGGATCAGCTAAAAAACCAGCAGTTGAATTCTCTTTCTTATAATATGATTTTGGACCTTGTTTTGTATTAAGATAACCTTTACCAATTACCAAAAATCTAGAATTAAGAAATAGAGATGTTTAAGCTATGGCAATTGAAGCCTTATATGAAAAAAAACCATATTTCGGTGTTTCATTACCTTCAGGTTAGGTGTTATTACCTATTCAAATAGAAACACATAAAGATAAAAAGGGAATAATATAAACTAAAGAATTGAATGTTTTACAGATTCCAATCACATTTACTCCTAGAGAATGCATAAAATATGATGAGAGTGTGATATTTGATATAAATGGATTGTAAAAGATGGAAGTAAGATTTACAGGAGAAGGAGTTCCATTAAAGTTAGATTTATTAAAGACTGAATATTAATTTGTTGATTTTGGTATTTATGGAATAGGATAAGTTGGAAGTGAAGTAATATCTTTAGTAAACAATTCTTAAAAAATGATAACACTAATTTTTGAATAAGATCCATTGAAGGAATTAAAATAAAAATATTATATTAAAGTAAGACCAAAGAAAGAATTTGTGATAAATCCAAGAGAGAGAAAAGAAATTACATTAACTTTTAAACCCTAATAAAGATTGCATTAATTTAAGACTGATTTACATCTTAAAATAGTAGAGAATAATGAAGTTCGTAAATTATTAACAATGTCTGGAGCATGTCATGGAATTGAATTAAAATTAATGGAAGATACAATTGGATTTGGTGGTGTAGTTGTAAATTCACGTCTCACTAAAACTGTTTAATTAAGTAATCTAGGAGATGTAGCAGCTAAATTTTAATGGGATACATCTTTTTGTAAAAACTATTTCACAATCACTCCATTAACAGGTACTCTTCCTGCTCATGAAGACTTACATTTCTAAATAACATTCCATCCTAATGCTATTGATAATGATATAAGATTTGATAAAGTCAAATGTTTAATCTAAAATTCAGATCCTCTTTATTTGAATCTTTTAGGAAAATGTATTGAATAACCAAAAGAATAAATTTAAGAAGTACGATTTGAAACTGTTGTACGAGTTCCCATTTCTAAAAAAATCATCATTAAAAATCCAACTCCAAAACCTTGGAAAGTCAAAGCTTCAGTAACTGCCTTGTTACCTTAATTCAAAGATTATTTCGAAGGTAAAGAGTATTTAGAAGTACCAGCTAATGCTTAAGCAGAATATGAAGTTATTTACAAACCTTTGACTATGACCTCAAATCCATAAATAACAAATTTATAAGATTAACATGATGGATCACTCTTTTTCCCATTGCCAGATGGTCAAGCCTTACTATATAATTTATTTGGTAAGAGTCTTCCTCCATTACCTTAAACTGTTGATACTACTATGAAAGCTAAAAAGAATACTACATAAGTCTTATCAGTTAAAAATTGGCTTAAATAAAGTCAAAGATTTGAAGTTACATGGGCACTTGAACCTGAAGATCCTTCTATTATTCTTAATGGAGCAAATACATTTGAAGTTTCAGCTGAAGGTACCAAAGATTATAAACTTACCATTTATGGATTGAAACAATCCTAAAATAAAGTTACTGTCTATTTCAGAAATGCTGTCACTCATGAATTCGTTTTCTATAAAATTGTAATCTATTTATTTTATTATTTCATTAGAATCTGAATATTTAACCTCCCGATTAATTGGCAAAAATTGAATTGAACTCAATTGTTAGAGAAGTTGCAACCAAATTAATTACTATTGAAAATCCAATCAATTAACCAGTTGAATTTAAAAAAGATTAACTTATTGCAGAAGTTGACAGCATCTCATTCAATCCATAATCATTTGTTATACCACCAAAATCTGAATTTGGTTTAGAAATTGCATATAGACCATTAATCGTTTAAGATATTTAATCCAAAATCACAATAAAATCAATATAATTAGGAGAATTTATTTATCCTCTTAAATTATAAGGTTTGCAATAGAATGTCTCAAGATCTCTTTATTTCAAAGCCTCATTAGGAACTGAAATGGTCTTACCATTTAAATTTATGAATTATACTAAAAAACCAACTACTTATACGTGTTATGCAACAAAACTTGGACCAAATGGCAAACCTTTGGCTATTAATATTGATCCTAAAGCTAAAGGAGCTCCTACTCAAACAACTGATTTTATTTGTGAATAAGTTTAATTCTAAGCTCCATAATCTGAATCATTTGATGGGGTTGAATGTTAAATTAGTGTTAAATATGAACCTAGCAGTTTAAATGAAAGTAGAGGAATTTTAGTTGTATAATCTCCAGATGGCGGAGGTATATAATTTAATTAATAAAATAGAATATCAATGTTTATTAATTGGCTAAGGAATTACACCATAACCAAAAGGACCATATAAATTGTCTGGAGCAAAACCACCTGCTATTGAATTTAAGAATCCTTTCTTTGAAGCTCAAGAATTTACTTTAAGAATAGATAATCCTGCTTTCACATCATCAGTTAAATCACCAATCAAAATTGATGTATTAATTTTAATTGATTGTTTTAGGGTAAAAAAGTATTGAGTATAAATATCACTTACAAAGCAGTTCCAAATAGTAGTAACAACGGTAGATTAATAATATCTTGTGGGGATTTACCATAATGGGTATTTTATCTCCAAGGAGAATGATAAAGTTTTATTATATATTAATATTTTATTAAAATCAATCAATCAATCAATAAATACTAATAAGTAAAGAATCATAATTGATATTAAACTTTAATATTACTTTTCTGATGGTATTTGTGGTGGATTACCTCCTTTTGTCTATAAACATGCTTCACACTTCTTAGTATCTGTATTCCATATAAAAGTTTAACCAGATTATTAAAAGCAACTAAATTCAATAAAATTTGTAGGATCTATTTCTGTACAATAACCATTAACTTTTGAGCAAAATCTAAAAGACTGTTCATCTAAACTTTATATTCTCTAACATATTCCATTCATTTCATAATAACTTGAACATTCGATAGATTAACATAGATTATTCTTAAACATGCAAAATCTTGAAAATTTATAACAAACTTCTTTATCAATATTTGCATCTGAACAATTTTAGAATCTTTAGCATTTTTCATTCTACCAAAAACAAACAATAGGGTTCTTATGATAATAACAAGTTGTTTCTGTAATATATGAAGAACAATCTATATTTATATCCGGTTTGCATATCATTCCATTGAAACTGCATTATAATTCACTATGAAATGAATTGCATTCTATTTATGTTAAAAAATCTGAACAAATTTACTTTTTTTTATTGTTACATTTATTTTAACTCCAAATACAACTATTGTTTTTACAATCATCTTCTAATGTATAATCTTAACATTCTTAATCTCTACATTGATTGGAATCCCAAAAGCAATTTTTTTAGTTTATATCTTCTACACATGATACTTGATTCTAATATTAGTTGCATTCTAAAAATTCTATAAAATTCTATCCATTAGTCGTACAATTTTTATTTGCTTACTAACAATCTAAATATGTTTAAAATTTAGCTTATGAACATTTTTGATATAAAGTACATGCATTTATTTATTTTTCAACATCATAATATATAATACATTCTCCATCAGTTCCCATAATACAACCTCCATTAACGTTAGTTTAATTACAACTAGTTAGAGGAACACAATTAATTCCATTTGTTGTGCAAAATTTAGAAGCTTATTTACATTTAGCATCTGTAATAAATTAAAGTGATTAACATTAATTAAATAAGTGACAATATCCTTTACTATTTTAATAATTCTAATTATTCTCATCATCTTAAATCCATACACATACACCATCTAATCCCTTATAACAAATTGTCTTAAATTGATATTCATTACAATTTAACATTTATGCACAATATCCATAGTTACCTATAGAACAATTTTAATTGGATTCCTAACATAATTAAAAATTCAATCCTCTATAATCTTAACATCCAAAGCTCCTACAATAATAATCTTCCCAAAAGCATTTACTACCATTAATATCTATTAGACATGCTTCTTGCTATTCAAAGTTTTCACATGTTGTTTTTAATTTGCAACCTCCTGTTTTTTTTACTGTACAATTAAAATCATGAAATTAACACTATTATTCAGTTATATATGATTTTGGAGCAGTCTAACAATCAGCAATATTACAATATCCATAATCATTTTCATGTTCTATGATCCATGTGCAAGTCTCTCCCAAATTTGATTTAATACATCCTTTTCTATGCATAGCTTAAAGACAAGATCCTCTTTTCACACAATGATAACCATTAGTAGTACAACCTTTCATATGTTGTTCACATTCAAAATCAGTTTAGTATATCAGATCTTCACAAATTATATTTCTACATTCTTCAGTTGTTTATTCACAATCTTAATTCAACTCATGACAAAATTCATAATTTAATTAATCAATATTTTAACATGTATTAGATAAGCATTGCATTGTGTTTGGATTCCAAAAACAAAGTTAATTTAATTTATTCTTTTAGCATTATTATTCTAAAATCATATCTTCATATTTTATTTTAATTGTCATACAACCTTAACCAAAATCAGAAATTACACAATCATCATCAAAATACTCTTTACATTTTTCATTTGTATCAAATTAATCAGATAATGGAGCTGTTTCACATGATTTTACTTTACATTAATTTTCAGTCCATTAACAAGGATTATTATTAATATCTATAATACATTGTTCTTAAAAAGTGTATTTCTCACAAATTGATATTTCTTAGCATCCTCCAATTACAAATAGATTTGTTTAAGAATCTAAAAATTGAGACACAGTACAATTCGGAAAGTAAGTATTACAATTTTCATGTTAATCGAAATTCTTTGGAGCTGTGTAACATGATTTATTCATACATAAAGCAGGATTTAAATTCTCATTCCATGCACATTAAATATTATCTATGCTTATGACACATTATTATTGAATAGAGTATTTAGAACATTAAGTTAACATCATACAACCAGGAATTGAAATACCATTTTCACTTCTGACTGTACATTTAATAGAAAATTTAACACCATAATAACATTCATCATGAGAATCAAATAATTCGGTTGCTTCTATAAATAAACAATTAGCAACAACACAAGTTTTTTTAGATGGATTCCAGAAACAATTTTCATTATTGCTATTGGAAAAACATTAAATCTAAGAATATTCATGACAACCCATCTTTTCAATACATCCTCCTACTCTAGCAATAGTGCAATTAGATGAATATTCCTTACATTATGAATGCGTAGAAAAATAGTTTGGTGCTATTGAACAAAGTTTTATCTAGCAACTATTGTCTTTAATAATACATTCTCCTTCTAATGATCGAACACAAGATTCTACTTTATTTAATGAACATCTAGAAAGCATTGGTTCACAGTTATTATAAGTAACTAAAACTGTGCAATCATTTTTCCATGTATTACAATTTTAATGATTAAATTCTGATCCTAAATAATTTGAACATTTCTTTTTAGTACAATTTGTATTTGATTCATTTGTACAATTTTAATTAAATTAATTACATATTTAATGAGTGTAATTATTTTCTTCAAGATAAATATATTCACAAGGAATCTATTCATTATAGGATACACATGTTTTTTATCCATTCTATTAAATGTATAGGCATTTTTCCTTTCTTGCCTATTAACATTAATTTAAATATTTATATTCTTAACAAACCTCTCTAATTTCAACACAATGTGTTCCATCATTTGAAACACTACAGTTATTATTGTAAAATTAACAATCTTAAAATCTTAAAAAGTTTCCAGTTATTTGAATACAATCTGTAGATGGAATTTATACTGAGAAACAGATATTATTTTGAAAATTATAATAACGTTTTCCCTCCAAAGAAAAAACACAGTAATTGTAATCATAATTGTATTTTTAACAAGAAGATGGTATAGAAAAACAAGCATTTTTATATTACGTTCCAATACATTCTTTATTATAAGATTAGCAATAACTATAACCAAATTCTCCATAGTTATCTTAAATAAATTAACACTAATTTTAAGGATCATTTATTTAGCTACAAGAACCATTGAACATAATACATCGATTAATTAGGCTTTTTGTGCAATTCTCTTCTGATAAATAGTGTGAGCAATCTTACTCCCTTTTAATACAACCTGTTAAATATTTATTAGCAATGCAATAGTTATTATTAAGTGAACAAAGCTCATCAGAATATGATTCTTAAATTTTCAGACATTCATCTCCTGAAATGAGAGTGTGACATGATCCATTTTCATAAAAGCACCTACTTATAGAAGTTTAAAAACAACTTTCTTTTTCTTAATAAAATTCACATTAATTTTGTAATCCTACACATGCTGTTCCTGTAAGATTAACAGAACAATTTAAATTTATTGTTTAGCAATCTTAAAAACTTAATCCAGTCATAATGATTTCATTACAATTAAAATAGCAATAATTATCAAGAGTAGCAAAATCTAAATTTGTACACCCTTGTTTATATTATCTGCAAATTTCCTAGGTTCCTCGAAAAATAGAACAATCTGCAGAAGAAATATATTTTTTATCATAGCATTTATTGTATACCCAAATACAATTATCGTCAGTATTATGTGCAGATCTAAAACATCTTTCTTGAGTTTTATAGTTTGAACAATTATATGATAATTCCTCACAACCAGTTAGACTTTTTATTACAGTGCATTTTGATAAATAATTTTCACAATTAGAATGAGAATTGTAATAATAGATTTCAGGAGCATCACTACATTCTTATTCTCTGCAATATTATTGTTACCAAATGCAATTCTTTTTTGCATTTTTTTTTTGGCATTATTCTTTATCATTATACTGGAAACATTCTAATACTAATATTTCACAGTTAGAAGAACAATAGGGTGATTCATTATTAATTTTAAGAATGTTTTATCTCCAGATTACAGAATTATCAAGAATGATGATTAGAGATTCATTTTAGGTCCAATTATTAAAAAAGTAGAGTTACATTTAAATTCTAATAGAATTATGGGATGACAACGATTTATACATAGCTTTGACTTATTAATTCTTACCTATAATATTATAGCCACCTAGAATTTCAAAATTGTTACAAATTGTAATTTAAATAAAATTAGTATTGAGTTGCCATTCTTCATTATTTGATAGATTATCTTAAGCAAAATCTAGAGTATATACAGTTTAACAAATGCCTTAATTAGTGCAGATATCACAATCACAATTACCAGTGTAGATTTCAAATTTATTGAATCCCTATAAAAGATTGCCACCTGTATAAGTAAGCCCTTAAAATAAAATTTTAGTTTTTAAGGATGTATGTTCTAATTCAATTGAATAAAGAGTATATTATTAAAATTTATAGTTAGAGGTTGATCCTGAACAAGTTACATCATTTGATCCATAACCAATTTCGATTGTATCTACTAAATTATTGTCTATATATAAGAGAACATTGTTTTATTTTGACTAAGAATATAAATAGAATATAATTTTTAGAGTTTTATGAGATATTAAAGTGAAATCTTTGTACAATATATCATATAATCCCATATATTAAATTGGTGCTTTTTTATTAGTGCAAGCAGACTTAGATATTCTTGATATTGCTGAAATAGATTAATAAAAAACCCATTAAGAATCTAGATTGCTTGAAAAAGAATTTACAAGATCGACCACTACTTCTTAAAATTAAATCAAATTTTTATTTGGTACAACTTCTGTATCAGTATTTTAACACAATTAACTTTAATCTTTACAAGGTAATGTATATATATAATAATCTCTTATTCCATAGTATCCTCCAATTACTTTATCTGAATAAAACTAAAATGTTAGCATATAGAATTAGTATCAAATTCTATTTCAACATTTAAATATTCTTCATTTGGTACTAGAGAACATATATTTATCGATTTTATCTTAGTTTCATCTAAACTCCATACAATATTTCCATTTGCATAAAGACTATGAGAAGTTGAACTAATAATTGAATCAATTTTCCAAAACTAAAATTTCACCTTCACTTTATAAAATGATGATGATAAGTAAAATTTCTTAGATATTGATGATCCAGTTTGAAAATAACCAAAGATTAAAATTTCTTAATAATTAATTAAATTAATTACTGTCACAAAACAAATGTTTTATTCCAGAACCTGATACAAACCATCCTTCATATGTTGTAAACGAATTTGAATCAAAATTAACTATCTTTTTTAAATATTTTTGACATGTGACACTAGTATCTGAATAATTACACAAATCACAACCATTTGGACAAATTTCCGCTTTTATTTCAATATCTCTTATTCCCCACCATTCCTCATAACTAAAACTCATTTTATACATTATTGTGATTTGCCACATTCAAACTTGATGTTATTTCGATTATTACAGATGGAGCAGAGTGATAAAATTATATTTCATAAAATAGTTATTAAGTTATATTACTATCTAAACTGGCGTTAACTAATTATTTATTTATTATAACTCCATCACCTTTTATTATTATATATTAACTATCCCATTTATTAATCCTATTTAATTTCTCAATTCTTTTTACACAAAAATTCTCATCTTTAATCTAAGAGTATGATGTGCTTAAGGAATTTCAACTTATTTATAAATTATCACTCCTACTCCAAATCCATTGTTCCCTCCAAAAATTGATTTATCCATTTACTTATCAAAGATTACTCGAGATCCTATTATTCCCCATCCTTTATTAACCATTTAAAATCATACCTTCAGTTGATTTAAATGTATTTTCTGTAAAATATGAGGCTATTAATATGGTCTCTTAGTTTCTCTTTAAAATTAAAAGAACGGCTATCAAAAGTATTATTTTATTCATTTATTTTATATAAACACTTTTTTTCACAAAAACTAATGTATCTAATTTTAATTAATAACACATAATTAAATATTCATATAGAAAGTTTAGAGAAATTAAGATCTTACTAATGACAACAACATTATTCAGAAAAATCCAAAGTAAAAGGTTTACTAATGAATTCACAAGGATCTTAAAATTATATTTTTTATATACTTATCCCCTTTATAAGAAGGTAATATTGAACTTCTATCCTAGAATTCAATTTATTTACTTCCACATATATGCTGGTGTAAAATATCTTCGAGTTATGTTATAAGTCTTTTTTATTTTTAAATCTTTTTTGAATTTAATTATAATTGCTCATTAAAATGGCAACAGAAATCTAAGAATTTGATTCTAGTATAAATTAAAATTTTCTCTCTTCCCATCTATTTTCTATTTTTTTAGCTCATTATTACTTATTGATATTGGTTTATCTTCCTTGCAATTTAAAATCCGATTTGGACCCTATTCCCATTAAACACAATTTTCATTCCAAAGAAAATAATCTCCTATTACATATTTATATTCGAAAGGTTTCTCAAAAACCTCAAATGATAATTACCAAAGACAATCCTAATTATATACTGATATAATTAACCTTTAGACATATCATACGACAAATTTTATCCACAATCCAATTGCATTAAGAATTGGCTAAGTATAATGCTTATCCGTATTTTAGAGTTATTTCGACGTTGAATTCTATGAATGGCATAAAATATAAGTTAATTATAAATTTAATTTTAGTTAGCTTTATGAATTTAAAATCAATTTGATCCTACTGTCAACTTGAATTAATAATCTCAGCGAATTAGATTCATTAATATAAAATTATTTTATTAAAATAAGAGTTCAAATATAATTTATCTCAAGTTTTATATTAAATTTAGATTGAAAATACAATATATTACTATATTTTTCATATACCCATCTTTATATATTTTAATTAGATAGTTTTTGTTCATAATCATCATAATGATTAAATCATTAATTTTAATGGATGTTATTGATAGAAATTAATGGTAAAATTTAATCCATTTATAAAAAACTTAATAAATTGTATGATTTTAATAAAAATGAATACATTTATTATTATAATAAAAATATATAATTAAAATTATTTTGATTTCAATAAAAAATTAATATTATTAATTTTGCTTGTAAAAATATTGATCAATTAAGTCTTAATTATATATAATGATAAAATGTAAAACCAAAAAAAATTCATTAGAAACTATTCATTTTGACAAGGGAAGGTGCCTGATTATATTTTTTAAAACTTTCGTTAGAGTATTTTTCTTAAATTTAGGGAATTTGGAAATCATCTCTTTGTTCTTCTTACTTTTCTTAAATTGGTGATTGACATATATTATTATTGATAGTTTTTTTGCCTTTAATTTTTTCAGAGGAGAGATAAGAATCAAAAGGTTTGAGTTCATACATCTCTTGAATCATATTTTTAATTTCTGCAATATATTTATGCTAAAATTTAAAAAATTCCACATTGTACTTTTTATTCGATTGAGCTAATTTTATTGTAATGAATGATTTATAGTGTGGCTTCGTTTTATAGAAAGGAGATGAAGAGATCTTTGAGTAAATTTTTGCAAAGTTTAGATTCTTTAGGTTCATTAACTTAAACTTAAAAGCATCTCTATAAATCTCCTAATTCAAATCGTTATTATTTGGATGTCTAAAATAGATATATTAAAAATACTTTAGATTCTTGAACATTTTGTAAGTATTTATAAGCAGCATCTTGTTCCATCATTTTTGCCCACTTTTTGAAACGAGATAAGAAGAAATGAGGGATACGTCTAAAAAATATAGAGAGTATAGATGAATACCTACGAAAGTCTTGATCTTCTTTGATATCAGGATTTGGATAGGGATGGGAAACATTGTTAGATTTCTCAGAATCAGAATTGACTAAGAATAATTAGTAATAAGAGATACCTCGTATTTTTCTAGATGATTGTTATTAAGGGTTGAGTTATTATTTAATATCGTCATGAAATCTTTAAATAATAGAGAGTGCATTAGCAAAAGAGTTGAATTGATCTTCATCAGCCTCAAGAATAATCTTCTTATTCTTTTATTCAAGGACCTAAGAGATAAGATAAGAATTAGATAAAGTACTCGATATTTGAATAGAGAAGGCTCATTATTGGTTTTCATTTATTATAATTAATGAGAATGCGTAATTAAATTGTTGTATTCATCAGGGGTTCTTGGCTTTAAGGACCTGGATGATTTCATGGTAAATCTGCAAAGGTATAATGTAAATACGATTTTGCCCAATCCGGGCTTATATTTTTCTATTTTTCTGAAAGTACGCTTAATCTTCAAGGTTTCTTCTTTTAATGATTCATCCTCATCTCTAATTGGTGTTCCTGTAGCATCTAACTTTAAAGAAGTGACAACTCTATTATGAGTATAATTAAGAGTTTCACAACTGGCTTATTACTATTCTCCACTAAGCATTCCAGCTCGTTCTAATAATTCAAAAAGAAGCTATGTTTTTTTAGCATTCTTGATAAATGGATGAGTAAGTAATTATGTAGCAGTTGGTCTAAGACGAGGATCTCTTTGCAAACATTGATGTACAAAATCAATCATTTCATTTGGATAATCTCCACTTAATCTCGGAGGTTGTTACACTATTTTAAAAATCACTTTCTATGGTGGAACATCTTCATAAGGAATTTTTGAAGTAATTAATTCAAATGCTGTTATTCCAATAGCCCATATATCAGTTTTTTGATCAGTCAAAGAAGATTAAATGGTCTAATATCAACATTAAATGTTCTACCTCTGGAGCCATCCAATAAGGGAGACTGAGAATATGAGATTGGGATTTATTGATTGTATCAGCAAATTCCTTATTGGTAGAAAAATAGGATAGTTTAACCTTGGCTTCTTGGGATAGGAAAAGATTAGCAGCTAAAAAAAATTTAAGGTAAAATAATAAAACTCACATTTAATATGACGATGCACAAGACCTTCTTAATGAATCTCTTAAACACCTAGTAAAAGTTCCCTAATGATCACTTGCACATATTAAATTTCTAATGTTTGTTTGTTGATCTTAAATAAATGAATCAAGTCTTTTAATGATCCTCCTGCAAAGTATTCCATCACAATAAAGAGTTTTCCATCTTATCCAAAACACTTATCTACCAAACAAATATTTCTGAATGGTTTTGTACGATAAGTTTAGACTGCTTAAGCCAATTCTGCCTAATTGACTAAATTGATGACTTTAATGGCTACGATCAGTCCTGTTTTCTTATCAAGTCTTTTATGATATGATTATTAGATTACGCTTTGTAAACAGTAGAATAATCTGTACGATCGAGTGCACAAAGAATATCATAATCTTCTATTGAATGAATTTAGTGATCCAGACTAATGAAATTCATAATTACATACAAAATAAATCAATGATATTATGTTATATATGTATACTCCAAAGCAAACTCATCTCATTAAATGAAATAAGCTTTAATTTTTAAACATGAATCCCCTAATGTCAAAGCTGATTTCCATGAGAATGATACTAAAGACCCAATCAAGATCCTTCAATCCATTTATGATCAATATGATGCTTTATATGTTGAAGAGATTATTCTTGAAGAACTTGAAATACCTGAAATCACACCTGAATTGAGAGATAAACTATAAGAATTTCCTAATGTTCATAGTTTTGGTATCAACAGATGTGGATTACAAAGTCTTACTAATTTTCCATCTTACAAACATTTAGTTAGATTTTAAGCTGATGGCAATCTCATCAAAGCTAAATAAATTGGATATCTTAAGAAATATACAGAATTACGTTCCATATCTCTTATTTCTAATTAAATAGATGACCCTAAAACAATCATTAAATATTTGAAAGAAATGAAAATTACTTAACTTAATCTATATGGTAATCCTATGTAGGATTACTTTAAGTTATTCTTTGATGAAATACCTTCCTTGATTTACCTAGATAATTTATAAAAGACAGGAGCTGAAGTTTATTATGATTACGATGATACTAATGAATTAAGTAAACAAGATGGTTACATCTGTCCAAATTACAAAGAATACAAAAGTTGATTTTATATCCAAATTATATATTAATTAAATATATTGCTTATAATAACTATTTCTAGGATTACTTTCAAGATTAAGAACAATTCACTAACTAAGTCCATCTCCTAAATCTAATAATTACTTTAATTGTTAATAAATGATATGACTCCAAAGGTAATAATTATGAGTTAATTTAATTGAATTATCTTTGAAGACAATTGATTTATATTACAATAAATATTTAATATAGAACGTTGATTTAGGAGTTTCATGAACAAAATTATTTAGAATTAATTAGTATACAATAATTTCTTAAATAATAAGTTGTTAAATAAATTAAGATAGAATTAAATTATAACAAAATACTATTTTACTTGAAAACAAAGTGTAAAAAGAATTGGGATTTTTTTGATTATATTGTAATGATACTTTTTTTTAATATAACTATTATTATTTCTAATGTAAAAATATATTATGTAGAACAATCTATTATTAATATTTCTAATTACAAGTAAATTTTAATAAAATAATTATTAAGAATTTATTTTTAATCTACAGTTATTACTATTAATATTAGTATATTATTTATTCTTTATTGATTTATATTATAATTATTATGCATTATATATTAATTTTTGATGATATTTACTCAAATCAATAATATTTTCTAACATAACTTTTTTCTTTTCTTTACGTATATTAATTAAGGCAACAATAATATAAATTATAAACTTTATCTGTGAAAAAATTACTATCTAGACACTCTTATAGAGATAAGAAAGATGAGATAACATATTTGGAGATTGAATACTTGGAAAATCAATCATGATTAAACTATGAAAAAAATAAATAAAAATATTTAATGATACATTCAATAATTATTTTGTGAATCTCCTTAAAATTGAAAGATCTTTTAGTTTAGATTGAGTATTATGGGATTTTTAAAATTATTATTCTTTCTTATATTAAATGAAAAAAATCATTATACTATTAATTTCTACATTTGTTTTAGGTAAACAATTATAAGATAATCTTTGTACTTGTACTTAAATTAAAATCTAAGAAGATTGCTTAAGCAGCTACAGAAATTGCTTTTGGTAAGAAAACAATCAAAGCTGTATTGAATAAAAAGCTGATCAATTATAAAATTTGATAATAATAGAATAGTAATATTGTTAATAATTTATTGAAATAAATGCTTGTTTAAAATCCTAATTTTGTGCTTGGATTTTATCGGATAACTTATATACTTGTTAAAATTTTTTAGGTTGTAATTTTTATTAATAGAAAACTCATGAAGAATGTTTAAATTATCATAATTAATGTATATCTGATGGAACTATATGTGTAGAAAAGCAGTAAAATTGTTCAGACTACAAAACTAAGATGTCATGTGAATATATTTAATATAATAATCATTATTGCTATTGGGCTATTAATGAATGCATTGATGCTAACTTTTGCGATTTATTACCAAAATCTTTGAATACAGATGAATAATGTAGAAGTGCTATAAAATCATGCACAGTTAATATTAATTCAGGATGTATTGATAGTGGATTTAGTTGTTCTGATTAGCAAAATGAAAATTAATGCTATTGGAATGTAGACAAAACAATATAATGTATTTGGATAAATAATTAATGTTTTGAGAGAAATTGTAAAACTTTAGCATTAAAATTAAATATAACAAATTGTAAAAAAGATATAAAAGAATATTAATGTTATGAGGATGGATAAAACGCATGTTCTGAAACATTAGATTGTGAAAAATTGAAATCTTATTAAAGTTGTTAGAATTACTAAGAAGAATGTTATTGGAATATCAATACGTGTATTAAAAGAGATTGCTCTAAAGCACCTATTTAATTAAATACTTGGGAATTATGCCAAGATTTTTCAAAACAATGTATTCCAAAATATCCTGATGGATGCTAAAAAATTTAAGATTGTTCTGATGCGGATATATAATAAGCTTGTTAGTTTGATTAGTATGGAAATATATGTTTTTGGAATTTAAATGAAAAATGTTAGAAAAAATAATGTGAGAATATATCGATTTAGGAATTAAAGATTAAATAATGTAATTAGATTATGATAAATTGTATAAAAAATAAAAATGGAGGTTGTATGAATAAAACAATTTATAATTGATTTAAATAGAATAAGAGTGTAATAATCAATATGATATTAATGGTAATTTATGTTTTTGGAATGAAATAACAAATCTTCACATTAATAATGTAATGAATTTTTAGATAGTTGCACAATCAATAAAGCAGGAGATTAATGTATTGAATGTTTTTGTAGTAATTCTTATAATAATGAGATTTGTGATTAATCAAAATGTATATGGAATAAAAGATGTAGATAAAAAGTTTGTGAATTAGCTTCTAGGAATATAAAAAGTTATAAAAAATGCTATGAATATTTAAATAAATGTACATTAAATAATTTGGGCTATGGATGTATGTATATTCCACTAAGATGTGAAGCAATAACAATAAAAGATGGTTGTGTATTAAGAATTAGTAAACCTGGAGGTAGAGAAATAGAATGTGAATGGGATGGAAATAAATGTATAGATAAATCTTGTATAACTGCTCCTTCTTATTTAACAAGTGATTAATAATGTGATAATTATTTAAAAGGTTGTGTAATTAGATATGTATAAGTAAATTAAACTATATTTAGTAATGTTTGTTAAGAATTATCAAATTAATGTGTATTAAGAATGAATGCTGAATAATGTATAATCTAAAGATTTGGTTATCCAATATGTATATGGAATCCTAATAACAATACCTGTTAAGCAAAATCCTGTCAAACTGCGAGCATTTAGAACTCAACAGGATCATTAAATGAATTTAATTTAACATAATGTATTTCTTATTTACTGTATACCTAATTCTAATAATGATGGATGCATTAATTAACCAAGTTTTTGTAATTGACTTTCAACAAATAATTGTTTTCAATCTAAAGAAGGTGAATGTTATATAAAAGATGGTAAATGTATTTTTAGAATTTGTCAGAATATTG